GAGCTGGGCTCAGAGATGTGAATTCCATTTGGGGGTGGGGGGGTGGTGGGTAGGGGATGTGTGCTGAGGTTTGAGGTTTACACCAGCTCTGTAAATTCATGTTTGCAGCAGGTGGTTAGAGGTAAGCACTGGATGTCTGAGGGGTTTCTTGCCCTTTTATTTCTTAAAACAGCTTTATTGAGATATCGTATACACATCATAAAAGACACCCTTTTGAAGTGTACAATTCAACACATTTTAACGTGTTTATAGAGTTGTACACCCATCACCACGATCTAATTTTAGAACATTTCCATCACCCTAAAAAGAAACCTCATGCTCATTTACAGTCATTCTCTCTACCTCTTAAATGGACTCATAAAAGTCTTACCTCCAATAACCCATTTTACAGCTCAGGAAACTGAGGCTCGATTTCTACACCTATTCCAGTGGCGAAGTCACTCACGTATAGCTCATAGCAGTGAAGCCCCAAAGCTAGGTGTCAGCCCCTGACACTTTAACAGTCTTGCCAAGAGACAGTAAGACCCCACCCTGGGAAGCCTTTGGCGGGGGGGTCTCAGTGAGAATCACAGCTCACCGGGACTCTGCTGTCAATTTTCACCAGCAGCCCAGGCTTGAAATTCTGTTACCTCCCGTGGAGCGGAGACCCTGGCAAAAACAAAGCCCACGTGTTGTGTTTTCAGGGGATACTCAGAGTTTCATTTTGAGTGTCTGTGGTTTGTTCTTGCATTTTTAACATTTCAGGGGATCACACGGCACATTCGGGAACTTCTTTCCCTTAAAAGGGGGCTTCTGAAAGGCCTCGCTCGAATCAGTGTGGGTGGCTCGACCTTATTCTTTCTATGAACATAGACAGCCTACTGTGTACCAGCGGAGGGTCAGGGGGCAAAGACCCTTGCCCTCCCAGGCTGAACTACCATTGGCGGGGGGGGGGGGGACATAGAGGAGAAACAAGTTAACTGAGTAGATGTGTCACCTTCGGATATCAGATGGTGAGCGGTGCTTTGGAGAAAACTAAGGCCAAGAAGAGGAGAAGGGGGAGCAGGGGGCTTTTAAAAACAATCTCTACTGGACCGGGCAGCTTAAATTTCCTGTATTTATTTGACGGGACTCCTGGTGATAGATTTTGAGGTGCTTTTCCGCTTTTCTTTTCTTTCTTTTAAGATTTTATTTATTTATTTGACAGAGACACAGCGAGAGGGAACACAAGCAGGGGGAGTGGGAGAGGGAGAAGCAGGATTCCCGTGGGGCAGGGAGCCCGATGCGGGGCTCGATGCCAGGACCCTGGGATGGAGCCCGATGCGGGGCTCGATGCCAGGACCCTGGGATGATGACCTGAGCCAAAGGCAGACACTTAACAACTGAGCCACCCAGGTGCCCCGCTTTTCCGCTTTTCACTCTCAGATGCTGCAGTGAATAAATTGCTTTTGCCCCCTTCACAACCTCCTGGGGACTTCCCAACCGGTTTATCCCGAAACTCTTAACATTCCTGTCTGGCTTAGGTGGTTTGGGGAGTGTCAAGAGCGGAGAGCGGTGGGGCTCCTGGACAGGTGCAGCTGGCTCCCCAGCGCCCCCGGCGGTTGGGCAGCCTGTCCCGCTCACACACCACCACCCCGCCCCCTTAACACCCAGGGTTCCCGGAGCGAGTGGAGCTGTTACCCCTACCCCGCTGGCAGCCCGTGGGCGAAAACCTCACTCTGCGCTGCCAGGTGGCCGGCGGGGCGCCCCGGGACAGCCTCTTCGTGGTGCTGCTCCGCGGGGAGGAGGAGCTGAGCCGGCACCCGGCCTCTGGGGAGCCCGCCGAGGTCGAGGTCACGGTCCCGGTGCTGGCGGGCAGAGACGACCACCTCGCCAATTTCTCCTGTCGCACGGACCTGGACCTGAGGCCCCAAGGGCTGAGACTGTTCCAGAACATCTCGGCCCCCAGGCAGCTCCGAACCTTTGGTGAGGCACTGGGGAGCCGCCAGAGAGGATGGGCTCAGGGGCTGTTCCTGCTTGGGGTGCGGGCCGGGTGGGGGGGAGAGGCCTCTGGTCGTGGCGGTGCTCAGGTGGTGACCTAGATGACAAAGGCTTCTGGAGAGAGCATGTTCTTGGCCATAGGGGTGGGGTGGTCTGGGATGGGGTGCCCCAGCTGCAGGATCTTCTGAGAAGCCTGTACCCCTGCGTGGGTCCCGGGACAGGGATGACCCAGGCCAGAGTCTCTGGGAACCAGAGGATGTCCCAGGTGGGGGGAATGAAAATGCCCCAGAAGGGGGTTTCAGGTTGCCTGTCCCCTCTCTGTTCACACCCACCCTCTCTCCCCAGTCCTGCCGGAGACCCAGCCACGCCTTGCTACCCCCAGGATCGTGGAAGTGGGCACACAGTGGGCTGTGAACTGCACTCTGGATGGGCTGTTCCCAGCTGCAGAGGCCAAAGTCAGCCTGACGCTGGCAGAACAGAAACTGCACTCTACATCCCTGTACAGCAAGGACTCCGTCTTGGCCATGGCCAATGTCGAGGCGAACGCAGCAGAGGAGGGCACCCAGGAGCTGGCATGTGTGGTGACCCTGGGAGAACAAGACCGGATGTGGAAGGAGGATGTGACCCTCTACAGTAAGTCAAGAGGGGGCCGTGCTTCCAGGGGGTGGGGGGCAAATCCTGGGGGGCGGTGCTCACTGTGTGCCTACCCCCTCCCAGGCTTCCCCGTGCCCAACCTGACCCTAAGTGAGCCAGAGGTCTCAGAAGGGACTGTGGTGACTGTGGAGTGTGAGGCCCAGGCTGGAGTCGTGGTGTCGCTGAGCGGGCTGCCACCGGGGCCTCCAGCACCCAGGGCACAATTCCAACTAAATGCCAGCGCTGCGGACCACAGGCGCAGCTTCTCGTGCTCTGCTGCTCTGGACGTGGCTGGACGCTTGCTGCACAAGAACCAGACCCGGGAGCTCCACGTCCTGTGTGAGTGGGGCCACTGGAAAATGACCCCTAATCCCCAAGACCCAACCCCTTAAGACCCCATGAGCTCCTGCCCTCTGAGGGCCCCCTCCAGTCCTCTCCCCAGATTCCGGAGTCCTCCAGTCCTAGGTGGTGGTGGGGGGGTGTCCTCCTAGTCCCTCACCCCCTCCCTCATCTTGCTGTGTTTCTCCAGATGGCCCCCGACTAGACCAGAGGGATTGCCCGGGAAACTGGACATGGGAGGAAGGCTCCCAGCAGACCCTGCGGTGTCAAGCTTGGGGGAACCCGGTTCCTGAGCTGAAATGTCACCGGAAGGAGGATGAGGCTTTGCTGCCCATCGGGGACCTGAGACCCGTCAAGCGGGAGGTTGCGGGCACTTACCTGTGTCAGGCCCGGAGCCCCCGTGGTGTGGTCACCCGCGAAGTAGTCCTGAACGTGACCTGTGAGTGTGCCGGTGTTTGGGGCTGGGCAGGGCAGGGGCAGCGAGCCTGGCTCAACCCTCATCACGCCCTGTGTCCTCCCCACAGACCACCAGAATAACATGGTCATCATCATTCTGGTGGCGGCTGCTGTCATCTTAGGAACTGTGGGCGCAGCCGCTTACCTCTATAACCGCCAGCGGAAGATCCAGAAGTACAGGCTACAGAAGGCCCAGGAGGCAGCTACCATGAAGCTGAACACACCGGCCACGCCCCCCTGAACCTGGGCCACGCCCCGGCCTCCCCCTCAGCCCCCCGCGCGGTGGCAGTGGTGCCACACTGAACAACAGTGGTCACAAGCCATGCAGCTCCACCCCCGTTCCCAGGTTGCCTGAGGACAGGCTAGAGGCCTCAGGATACAGGGGTCCTGGCACCTGAACGCCTAGGATCCCCAAGCCTCACACCTGACCTGGAGCCACAGGACTGAGCCACAAGGAGGGGGCAGGACTTGGGGCATGACTATGAGGGATGTCAAAGCCTGCCCTGTCTGGGGGGGGTGTGGCGGGACACTCAACATGGGACGCCCAACTGGGAAACAGTGAACCCCCCCCCCAATGCGTGTGCTGAGGCCCTACAGCCCTGAGAAGTAACCTGCACAAACACCAGCAGCATGGAAACACATACCCCCATACTTCCTCTGCCAGATGCCAGGTCCAGCCCTGCAGTCCACGGACTGTCCCCAACTTTCGATGATGACGTATTTATTCATTTGTTCTTTTACCAGCTATTTATTGGGTGCCTTTTATGTGGGCCAGAATGGTAAAGAAGAGGAGCATGAGTTCCTGTCCTCAGGGAGCTGTCAGTCTAAACCTCATTTAGGGTGGCCAGGTACAGTCGCACTAGCTGTGCACTGCGCAGGAGCGCCTGGCAAAAAAAAGATCAAGTGGGGCTGGAATTTCCCATTCCATTAGCTAAGCTGCTTTCCTCCAGAAGGGGACTGGCAATGGTGATACTGTTTCGTTGGTGACATGCCCAGGGACAACCCACTGGGCCCGGACTCCTCCCACCATCACTGGCACTGACCTCTGTTAGTCCCCCCTCTGCCCATATGCCTCTCTGCTAGTGCTCACAGTGACACCGGGGCATGCCTAAACATGAATGCCCACTCGTTGGCAGCTAAACCATGGAGTCCCATGAAACCATGTCCAACCCCTGTGTCCCCGCCTTGTCCTGTTTCCTTCTCAGTGGGACAGAGCAAGAACAGAGCACTCCGGCAGCCCCAAGTTCCTGCAGAGATGAGGGCCCTGCAGGCCATAGGGAGTAGAGGCCTGGGAAGATCCCCTCCCAGCTCTGGAAGCCTCTCTCTCTTGTGCTAATAAAGCATTTTCATGTGCGCCTGACTTGTTTGAGTTGAGGGGAGGTGCTCATCCAGTAGGAGCCCTTTCCAGCCCTGTCCTCCCACTTCCTCCCCCAAGAAAAGGCTGCCGGTTCAAGGCCCACCCCCGAGGCTCTAATCCAAATCTTGTTAGGACCTTTCGAGACTCAAGCGAAAATTAAAGATTCCTCTCCAGAAAACTCTCTGACTCTTGCTTTACATAGGCCTGGAACCTCATTCTTGAGCTGAGGGAGGGGCTGAGGGGCTTATATACTGCAGGCTCCCAGGCCCTCGAGGGGCCTCTGTCCCTCTGGGTGGGGCTGCGGAGGCGGGGCTGCCGGCCTCCTTATCTCCAGAGCCAGCCTTGGCTCCCTGGCGCTCGGCCCCTCAGTCTGGGCCCTTTGCCATGGGGTCTCTGCTCCCCCTCTCGCTGCTGCTTTTGCTGGCGGCCGCCTACCCGGGAGGCGGGAGAGCGCGTCGGCGCCGGGGAGCGCGGGCCCAAGGCCCGGGAGGCAGCTCCCCGGCGCCCTCGGAGACCTCAGAGCCGTTCTGGGTGCGCATGAGCCCCGGGTTCAAGGCCGTGCAGCCGGGGGGCTCAGTGTGGCTCAACTGCAGCACCAGCTGCCCCCTGCCGGAGAATTCCAGCCTCAGCACTGGGCTGCAACGGGGCCAAACGCTCAGTGGGCCCGGCTGGGTATCCTACCAGCTGCTGGACGTGAGGGCCTGGAGCTCCGAGGTGCGCTGCTTCGTCACCTGCGCAGGAGAAACACGGGGGGCCACGGCCAAGATCACCGCCTACAGTGAGGGACGGGGGTCCAGGCCTTGCTGGGGTGAGGGGAGGGGGACGGGGTTGGGTGTTTAACAGACGCGCTAGGGGGCGCACGCGGACCTGGCTCAGAGGCCCCCTCTTGCTTTAGAACGGCCGCAAAGCGTGATCCTGGAGCCTCCGCTCTTGGTGGGCAATGAGTACACTCTGCGCTGCCACGTGACGCACGTATTCCCCGTGGGCTTCCTGGTGGTGACTCTGAGGCGCGGCGGCCGGGTCATCTACTCTGAGAACCTGAAGCGCTACACCGGCACTGATCTGGCCAACGTGACGCTGACTTACACGTTGCCCGCCAGGCCCCGCGACTTCTGGAAACCGGTGACCTGCCACGCACGCCTCAGTCTTGATGGCTTGGTGGTCCGCAGCAGCTCGGCACCCATAACGCTGACAGGCCTCGGTGAGGCACCTTTGTTATCCCGGGCCCCTGAGGAGGGGAGGGCCAGGGTGTGACGCCGGTAGGGTGAGCGAGTCGAGCGGGAGGTCACGTCTCCCTGGGCCCCGGTCCTAATTCTCACCTCCTGTCCCCAGCTTGGCGCCCCGCGCCCAAAGCCTTGGCCTCCACCTCCATCGCAGCCTTAGCGGGGATCCTTCTCGTCGTGGGGGCCGCCTACCTGCGAAAACGGCCGTTGGTGCAGAACCGGAGTAAAGAGAGGAGGGTCTCTGCCGGCTGAGCCGGAGGAGAAAGGAATCTGGGACGACTGGGGGGAACCCTGACTGATTCAATAAAGTCCTCCTCAGTCAGCCTCTGCCTCACGGCCTAAAGGTCCCCCCACGAGCGAACCTCCTCTGAGGAGGTGGTCTTCTTTTCTGGCCTTGCCTCAGTCACTTTCCCTAAGTGCCCTGTCTCTCGGAGGGCACCTGAGGCTTCCTCCTTCTCAGCCGCCTGGGGACCCGGGCGCCCCAGTCCCTCCGCATTCCCAGCCAAGTGTGGTAATATACCCCCCCTGCGGGCGTTATCAGTGGGGTGCAAATGGGCATAGCTTGGGCACTGGAGGGCTTTGGGCTGTGGGAGGCTTGGCTCACAGGACGGTTTTCCCCCCGATTGGCTCCGCCGCGCCACGCGGCAGCTCTGATTGGATATTAAGTTTCCTTTCCCATTCCCCCCCCCCCCGCCCCTCCACCTGCGACCCAGCACTTTCCCGGAGGACAGGGGTGGAGCGAGAACTGACCCCCACAGTTCACCGTTAGCTCTGGCGCTGAGAGCGCAAATGGACGGGGTCACATGACACACTGAGGGACGGAGATGCGAAGAAAAGGTACCCATGTTGTGACTGCGGGGAGGGAACAGTCAGAGGGCCCACGTGGGGTGTCACAGACTCGCGTCCTGGCAACGTCTTGATAATCACCGGGCCTGGGGGCCACATGCGGGGGGGGGGGCGTCAAAACCTGGGGGCCCGGATGCAGGGTCGAAGGGTCATAGTGGGTCTCTCGGTCTCGCGTGGACACAGAAGCCGAGCCCGCACTGGATGTCTGGGAGGGCCGGTGCGGTCCAGGGCCCCGCCCACCGCGCCGAAAGCGGATTCAGGGGCGCTCCTCCGCAGCTGGCGCTCACACACGCCGCGTAGACACGTGCCCGCTGCACGCTGGGTAAATACAGACCCAGAGCAGAGCCGACCCTAATTTAGACGCCGGCGAACGCTGCGCGCACGCACACGTGTTCCCGACTCGCTGGCACTTTGGTCCCCACCCCCTCTGTCGCGTGCGGGGGCGGAGCCGGAGGGGGACTAGGGGCGTGGCTACAGCCCTCAGCTCGCCGGCTCAAAAGGAGAAGGATCAGTGAGGAAGGCATCCCCACACACCCTTTCCTAGAATTGTGCCTTCCCCCATCCTGCTCTACAGCTCTCTCCTAGCCTTCAAACCAATCCCCTGCCCGGGAGGGGGTGGGGGAACTAACTATGGGGGCGGGGCTCTGAGTCCAGCTCATTACCACAGCATCCAAGCTAGGGGTAGGGTGGGGGCGGTTGAGAAGGGCAACCCAGCATCCCCCGACCTCGGCTTCGCCGCCGAGGATGACGCGGGAGCGCGCGGCCGCCCCCAGAAGGCTCCGGGAGATGGGGCGGGCCTCCACGTAGACCCCGGGGGTCGCTTGCTCCTGCCAGCACGCCTTCGCCGAGGCCGGGAGCCTGGAGCACGCTCGCCCTCCCGCCCCCCAGCCGCCTCTGCCGCCGCCCCCTCCTTGGAAACCAAGTTACCAACGTTAAACCAATCCCGGAACGCAACTCTGCCTCCTCCACAACCCACCCGCCGCGCCGTCCTCTCGCCCAGCTCAGCGCTCGCGCTCTCCTCGCCTCCTGCGCTTCCCCCGCGGCGGCGATGCCAGGGCCCTCGCCGGGGCTGTGCCGGGCATTGCTCGGCCTCTGGGCTGTCCTGGGCCTGGGGCTCTTCGGCCTCTCAGGTAAGAGCCGGGTCCTGGCTCAGGGTGGACAGGGCGGGGGCGGAGTTCCGGGACCAGAACAGCGGCCACAAGCCCCTCCCGGCTCCGCCCTCGTCTCGCTCTACTCCCACGCTTCTGCCCCACCTTGAGCCCGGGCCTTGCCCTCTATCCCTCTTCCCACCAACACACACTGGAGGCCCAGCTCCCAGGCTCCTCGCTTGCCCAGGTTTCTACCTTGCCCTCGTCGAGATCCCGGGTGCTCTTCCGCACCCATCTCATGCCCTGGAGACCCCGTGTCTCCCTTGTCCCTTTCCGGGGCACCTCTCCACGCTCTGTCATGCTCCATGGTCCACGGACTGCCATCCCCCTCAGTCGTGGTCCGGAAAGACCCGATCTCCCCAACTGCTGTGACTCAGAGGCGCTATTCCCGCTCCATCCGGAGCCCTGGCAACCGAGTCCCTCAGCTGTTACCGCGGTTCCTTCCATGAGCTCCAGCCTCGAGTCTTCTTTCGTGTTCTTCTCCCGGGTTTGGGGTCCTCACTTATCCTTGACTCAGCCTCATCTCTCCTTTGCCCTCGCCTCAACCTGTCTCCCCGTCTCTGGCAAGAACCCTGAGAACCAGTTCGTTTTCCTTCCTCCACACGAGGTCCCCTCTTCCCATCACTGCTGTGTGCGTCAAAGACCCCGTCTTTCATCTCATCCCCCTCCCCCCATGCTTTCCCATCACTCCATTGGCACCTTGGAGACCAGGGCTCTCTGCTGCCATGTCCCAGAGAAGCCCTCGAGGTTTGAACCCTGGGAGCGCGCCTCCAAACCTGAGGCCGGGGCAGGACGCGAAACTCCTGAATTCTTCCTTGGCTGTGGCCTCTACTAATTCCCCGGGAATCCCTGATTCGACATAGGGGCACTAAGATCCCAGGAAGGTGGCTCCCCAGGCTGAGCCCACGTTTCCCTGGTCAGCGGTCGCGCAGGAGCCCTTTTGGGCGGACCTGCAGCCCCGCGTGGCGCTCGTGGAGCGCGGGGGATCTTTGTGGCTGAATTGCAGCACCAACTGCCCACGACCTGAGCGCGGTGGCCTGGAGACCTCGCTGCGCCGGAATGGGACCCAGAGGGGCTTGCGCTGGCTGGCGCGGCAGCTGGTGGACATCCGCGAGCCGGAGACCCAGCCGGTCTGCTTCTTCCGCTGCGCGCGGCGCACGCTGCAGGCGCGTGGGCTCATTCGCACTTTCCGTGAGTTCTCAGCGGCCACGCTCTCACTCTACTATTTTCCCTTCCTTCCAAGCCCCGCCCCCTGGGTCACAGGGTCCTCCCCTTCAGGCTCCACCCTCTGGATCCCCAAGCTCTCCGCCCCTGGGCCCCTGGATTCCACGCCAAGTGCCTGGGAGCCTCGGCGTTTCCAAGAGCGGTGGTTCCCCCGTTGCAGAGCGACCGGATCGTGTAGAGCTGGTACCGCTGCCTGCCTGGCAGCCTGTGGGCGAGAACTTCACCCTGAGCTGTAGGGTCCCAGGCGCTGGGCCTCGTGGGAGCCTCACATTGACCCTGTTGCGGGGCACCCAGGAGCTCATCCGTCGCAGCTTCGCCGGGGAGCCACCCCGAGCGCGGGGCGCGGTACTTACGGCTACAGTACTGGCGCGAAGGGAGGACCATGGGGCCAATTTCTCCTGCCGCGCGGAGCTGGACCTGCGGCCGCATGGCCTGGGGCTTTTTTCAAACAGCTCCGCCCCCAGAGAGCTCCGAACTTTTGGTGAGTGGGTACAGGGAGCAGAAGGGGACGAGAAGGGGTCAGAGGAGTGTTTAAGAAGTTTGGAGGCAGAGAAATCTGAATTCCAATCCTTACTCCAACATACACCAGCTGTAAGTTGTTTTCCTCTCTGTGCCTTGAGGATAATACAAGATAGTGCATGTAAAGCGCTTAGTACATATTGAGTGGTTCCGATACATGATATTCAAGCTCTGTTCTTCGACACCCAGCCCTGTCTCCGGACCCCCCGCGCCTCGCTGCCCCCCGGCTCTTGGAAGTGGGCTCAGAAAGACCCGTGAGCTGCACCTTGGACGAGCTGTTTCCAGCCTCAGAGGCTGGGGTCTACCTGGCGCTGGGGGACCGCATGCTGAGTCCCGATATCACCCTGGAGGGGGACGCGCTCGTGGCCACGGCCACAGCCACAGCTAACGCAGAACAGGAGGGCGCCAGGCAGTTGGTCTGCAACGTGACCCTGGGGGGCGAGAGCCGCGAGACCCGGGAGAACGTGACCGTCTACAGTAAGAGGGAGAGAAGCGGGTCGCCGCGGCTCAGGGGTGGATCCGGTCGCTCTGCAACGGGAAGGCAGAGCAAAGGGTGGGCGGGGCCTTAGTATAGCAATAGCCGTGGTCCCAGTGTCCCTAAGGGGTGGGAAAGTTGGAGGACTGAGGTTGAATAGTTTTAGAGGCGGAGTCTGAGCCGCCGCCGGAAGGGGAACGTCGCAAACCCAGTGGGGACCCCGTAAAGTTGGGCGGGGCGAGGAGGAGGCGGGGCGAGAAGAGGGCGGAGCCTAAGCATCCGCAGAGGCCGAGCGAGGTACCTACAGTTCGGCGGCAGAGCCCAGAGAGTTCAGGCAGATAAGGGGCAGCCTCGACCCGCGGGAGGGGCGTGGTCAGTGGACTCCCGGCCAATGCCCCGCCCCAGGCTTCCCCGCGCCGGTCCTGACCCTGAGCGAGCCCAGCACCCCCGAGGGGAAGGTGGTGACAGTAACTTGCGCAGCTGGGGCCGGAGCCCTGGTCACACTGGACGGAATTCCAGCCGTGGTCCCGGGGCAGCCCGCCCAGCTTCAGCTAAATGCCACCGAGGACGACGACAAGCGCAGCTTCTTCTGCGACGCCATCCTCGAGGTGGACGGGGAGACCCTAAGCAAGAACAAGAGCGCCGAACTCCGCGTCCTATGTGAGTTGGCCTTTAACCTCTCGCCTCCCTCCTCGTGATTTCCAAGGGCCTGTCCGGTCCCTGGCCGTATTGTGGAAGTGGGGCTTTTCCTCAAGGACCGTGTCTAGCTTCTCAGTACCCCGCGCCCCTGCAGACGCCCCTCGACTAGATGATTCTGAGTGTCCCAGGAGCTGGACGTGGCCGGAGGGCCCCGAGCAGACGCTGCGCTGCGAGGCCCGCGGAAACCCTGCGCCCTCCGTCCACTGCGAGCGGCCTGACAGCGGGGCGGTGCTAGCGCTGGGCCTGCTGGGTCCGGTCACTCGAGCTCTCGCCGGCACTTACCGCTGCACTGCGGTCAACGTCCAGGGCGAGGCAGTCAAAGAAGTGACGCTGACGGTCGAGTGTGAGTGGGGGTGCACAAGGCGCATTTCTGCTTCTCAGGGTCTCGGGGTGACTAGCCTACAGGGTCTGAAGTGTGTCTTTGGGCAGGATTTTGGGAAAGGGAAGAGGCTGGTGAGCGGTATTAGGGGAAGATCTTAGAGAAGGAGGGAGGGGGAGAGGTAGACGTGTCCCTAAGGGTCTGGGGTGTGGTGTGTGGACAGAGTCTTGGGAAGGTGGGCTTTCCAAGGCGTCTAAGAATTTCTAGGCCAAAGACTTGGGGTGGATCCTGTGGGCACTTTGTAGGAATCAGAAAAAAACACTAAAAACAGCTCACCACTCCACCAGCATAAAACCTCTTTGGTTTAGTGTCTGGGCAGGGCACAGCCTGCCCAACCCTCTGTGGCCGCCCTCATACGGAAAGAGGGTCTAGGGACATTGGGCCAGTCCCCATCCTCAAACCCAACAACACTTCCTTCTCCAGACGCCCCATCGCTGGACAGCATGGGCTGCCCAGAACACATTACATGGCTGGAAGGAACAGAGGTCTTGCTGAGCTGCGTCGCACACGGGGTCCCGCCGCCCAGCGTGAGCTGTGTGCGCCCTGGGGAGGCCGGGGTCGTCGAGGGCCTGCTGCATGTGGTCCGGGAGCACGCAGGAACCTACCGCTGTGAAGCCACCAATGCTCAAGGCTCTGTGGCCAAAAATGTGGCTGTCACGGTGGAATGTGAGTGAGGACAACACAGGGCAAGATGGGGTATGTCAGGATAACCCTGGCCTGACTTCCAGTCCCTGTGTGACCTTCTGCTCCCCAGATGGCCCCAGTTTCGAGGAGCTGAGCTGCCCCAGCAATTGGACGTGGGTGGAAGGATCTGGGCAGCTGTTTTCTTGTGAGGTGGATGGAAAGCCAGAGCCAAGTGTGGAGTGCATCGGCTCAGAGGGCACCAGTGAGGGGATGCTGCTGCCGCTGGCCTCCCCAGACTCTAGTCCCAGAGTCCCCAGCAGCGCTAGTGAACTGGCACCTGGTATCTACATCTGCAATGCCACCAACCGGCACGGCTCCATGGTCAAGACAGTCGCCGTGAGCACGGAGTGTGAGCGGGGCCGAGGCTGGCGGGGAAGTAGGGGTGCCCCAGGGGCCGGGCCCCTCCCTGACGTCCCCCATGGCTGCTTTGCAGCGCCACCGCAAATGGATGAGTCCACCTGCCCAAGTCACCAGACGTGGCTGGAAGGGGCCGAGGCTGCAGGGCTGGCCTGCGCCGCCCGGGGTCGCCCCTCCCCACAAGTGCGCTGCTCCCGGGAGGGCGTGCCCAGGCCTCAGCGGCTGCGCGTGTCCCGAGAAGATGCGGGTACCTACCGTTGCTTGGCCACCAACATGCATGGCACGGACGCACGGACGGTCACCGTGGGCGTGGAATGTGAGTGGGAGTAGCACCAGTTAGAGGGCACTGGGTTCCCAAAACAGTGGCTTGCAGCAGTGGCCTTGCCCAGGGCAATTCAAGGGTACCTCCTTAGGCCCCCTTCCTGGGGACAAGGATTCCCGGTCTAAACCTGAGGCTAATGAAAACTCTAGGGAACAGGAGCCCGCGCCCCCCTCAAATTCTAGGTCAGAAGGGCACTGGTGCAGGTCCCTACCCCCTCTCCTTCAGAGAAGCAGGGCACAGGGTTTTAGTGCTGACTACAGCCGAATAGTAGGGGCAGGTGGCTCTGAAGGAAGGCCGGATCCCTGCCTGCCCATCCGAGGAGGGGTGCTCTGATTGTGGTGGGCGGAAGGGCACTTGGTCGGTGCGTGGACCGGCTCTGAGGGGCTCCTCCAACCTCCTGTCCTCTGCAGACCGGCCGGTGGTGGCCGAGTTGGCCGCCTCGCCCCCCGGGGGCGTGCGGCCAGGCGGGAACTTCACGCTGACCTGCCGCGCAGAGGCCTGGCCCCCAGCCCAGATCAGCTGGCGCGCGCCCCCGGGGGCGCTCAACATCGGCCTGTCGAGCAACAACAGCACGCTGAGCGTGGCGGGCGCCATGGGCAGCCACGGCGGCGAGTACGAGTGCGCAGCCACCAACGCGCATGGGCGCCACGCGCGACGCATCACAGTGCGCGTGGCTGGTAAGTGGCAGCTGGGGGGCGGGGCTAGGGATCCGCAGGGGGCGTGGCCTGCGCCGCGCGGCCCCTGACCCGGTCCTCGCTTCCCTCTCCTTCCCCGCAGATGAGACTGAAGTGGGCCGGGGCAGAAGTCGGGGGCACCCTGACGAGTGGGGCTTTGATGGCGGGTTGGGGTGGAAGGTGGAGGAAGAGGGAACGGACTGGAGCTCAAGGGGAGAGACCCTCCAGGGCCGTGACGGCTGTGGGAGGGGCTTATTAACTTGGGGTAGAAGTCACCCCTCACTGTGCCGCTGTGGAGAAGAGGTGTTGGAGAGGGACCTAGGGTAGAGGATGGGGGTGATGGGGGGTCCCACCCAGATCCCCTCCCCCCCACTTCGTGTATCTCGGGTTTTCCGGGGTGAAGGAGTGACCCGGTCCCCCCTACCCTCATCCTCTTGGGGGTGAAGAGAGTTGACTTCTGGGTATCCCTGGGGCTAGGGGCTTCTATCCTCATGTGCTGAGGTGACGCGTAAAACGGATCTGGGGTCGCACCAGCGCTTGGGGTAGCCTTTGAAGGCTTTCTCCTTTCCCCCACCCCACGCTCTGAGTTCCCTGGGGTTCTCTGCCAGGCCCGTGAGGACTGACCTCGTGCCAATGGGGAGGGAACAGAGGTGGCCGCGCTTGGGAGCCTTGAGCTGGTCCACTCTCTTTGAGGGTCTCCACCCCGCAGGTCCATGGCTGTGGGTCGCCGTGGGCGGCGCGGCGGGGGGCGCGGCCCTACTGGCCGCGGGGGCCGGCCTGGCCTTCTACGTTCAGTCCACCGCTTGCAAGAAGGGCGAGTATAATGTGCAGGAGGCCGAAAGCTCGGGTGAGGCCGTGTGTCTCAACGGCGCGGGCGGTGGCACTGGAGGGGGCACGGGTGCCGAAGGTGGAACCGAGGCTGCGGGCACCGCGGAGGCGCAGGCAGGGGGCGAGGTCTTCGCCATCCAGCTGACGTCGGCTTGAGCCGGTTCCCCTCTCCCCGCGGGCCGGGGGACGCCCCCCAGAGGCACACGGGGGCTTACTTATTGTTCTATTTATTTATGTATTTATTTATTTATTCATTCATTTATTTATTCAATTCCAGGGGCGTCACCCCCATTTTCTACCCACCCCCCCAACAAATAAAGTTTTTATAAAGGACTCTGGGTCTGTCCACTTCAGTCTCTGCCATGTGGAAGCAACCCAAGGTTCCAGTCCCAACCCCGTGGGTTATTCATACATAAACTACTTTGGCTTGTTTGTTTTTGAGGGCCTACTATGTGTCAGCACAGCCCAAGCCACCTTCATGCGGTGTGGGCTGGAGCGTGTTCTCTCCGTGTCCCATTTCCTGCTGTCAGCCAGCCTTGGGCTGGGGTGGGGACTGCAGGCCTTCCTCCCGCTCCCTGACCCTTATCTCTTCCGCCCAGTGCTGCCCTCTAACCCCGCTAACTCTTGCGGTGGGAGCTAGGTGATTCCCCCAGGCCTGGTTCCAGGCGCCGCAGAAGCTGTCTTCCCAGGGTGGGTGGAGCCCCCTCCCCGGGGTCTGGGCATTGGGCCCCTGTCCTGAGGTCTCGCCAGGATGAGGAAATGCAGACAGTGGCTGCACTTATGAGTGACAGGTCCCAACTATTAAAGGGTGCATCCCCGCCCCACCCTCAATGCCTCCTCCATCCTGTGTCCATCCACCGTGCCTCAGTTTACCCCCAACCTGCCTTTTGACTGCCTGTCATGATTCAGAAGAGACACACGGCTATCAGCTGCAACCCACTCCGCACACCACCGCCCCCCTCACCCCCTACAGCATAAGGAGAGAACAGCTGCTCTCCCCCCACCCTTGTGGTCTCTGCCTCCCTCAAAAGCAGGAACAGAGCCTGAGAGAAGGAAGCAGTCCTGGACAGCTCCCACTCCATCAGCTGCCCTAGGCACGCATTTCCTGAGCAAAGGTAAGAGCAGGAAATGGTTGCGGGGGGATTGCTAGGGGGTTGGGGGTGGGAGGAACTAGCGGCCTGTCGCACACACACACACCCCCTTAACTACTTCCCTCCTCACGATTCCTTATGTCCCACCAAGTCCAGCCTGCCACAGGGCCTTTGCTTTTGCCATTCCCTCTGCCTGGACTGTCCTCACCTCAAAGTCCCACAGCCAGTTCCTCATCCTCAGGTCTCTATCCAAATGTCAGAGAGGCCTTGGCTGTCTCTCCTCCGAGAGAAGCAAAACTGAGGTAGCCCTCCAACGCCTTATCTCCTTACATACTTTCTTTTCTCTGTAGCATCAACCACCACTTGACACTCTATTAGATATTTGACTGTTTACTGTCACTTTAGAATGTTGGCTTCGCTAGAGCAGGGTTCTTTGTTTTAGTCACCATAAACTGCCCCCCTTGGGGTCTGGTACACAGTAGTTGCTCAATAAATGCTCAATAAGTGGGTAAAAACAGCCGTGAGTTCACAGGTACACAGTCTGAGACCTTCATGTGTTCAACGTGCATCCCCAAAGAACTCCATGCTGGGCCCTGGGATGGCCCATCACGGTCAGGGACACAGTTGTGGCCTTGGACCCCTGAAGTCATGGTCCAGGTGGGAAGATGAAGGTGAATGAAATAACCCCAGAGCAGTAGAGAGCTGACAAATTCTGGGAGGTTCTAGGAGGGAGACCAGTGAGGAGCTGAACTAGAGCGTGACAGCATGGGAGTGGGGTATGTATTTTAGACTGGGTGGTCAAGGAAGGCTGCCCCACCCTCCCAGTAATGAGAAGGCAGCAGCTAGGGGAGACGCCGGGGAGGGTGTTCTGAGCTGAGGGATCTGAGGGCTGAGGAACTGGGCCCAGACCTTCCCCACAGGCTCACCCAAAACAGACAAAGAGGGTTTCACAGGGGCTCCCCTTCCTGGGCTACGTGGCCTGGCAGGTCTCACTCACTGCCATGCGGGACCACCCCCCACCCTGGCTGCATCCCTCCAGTTCTCCCAGTGGGCACTGGTATCCTGTGTGTTCTGGCGACAGCGACAGGGCTGAGCTCTGGCCAGGGCCCTCTTCTCCTGAATGGCTTCTGGCTGCAGGCTAGGGACACCCGTGGTGGGGTTGGAGAGCTCTTGGAAGAGGGGGGAGGGGACCACAGAAGGGACTGGTGTGCATAAAGGTGTAGGAAGGGGACATCCTGCAGGCAGAGGTGGAGCTGACGGATAAAGGGACCACTGTGGGTGTATCACTGTGTGCCAATGTGTGTCAGCTAGGTGCATTTTCCGTGTGTTGACAGATGTATCTGTCCTGTGTCTGTCAACGCTTGTTTCTGTCTAGCGTGTGGTCTATGTGTCTCATGTGCGTGTCAGCACACGCGAGTTTGTCAGTGTGTCTTGTATGTGAATGTGTGTTAGCCCACACACACGTATCTGTCTTGCCTTTTTTTAAGATTTTTTTTTTAGGGGGGCACCGGGTGGCTCAGTTGGTTGGGCGACTGCCTTCGGCTCAGGTCATGATCCTGGAGTCCCTGGATCGAGTCCCGCATTGGGCTCCCTGCTCCGCGAGGAGTCTGCTTCTCCCTCTAACCCTACCCCCTCTTGTGCTCTCTCTTTCAAATAAATTAAAAAATAAATAAGATTTTTTTTAGGGGTGCCTGGGTGGCTCAGTCGTTAAGTGTCTGCCTTCAGCTCAGTCATGATCCCGGGGTCCTGGGATCGAGCCCCGCATCTGGCTCCCTGCTCAGCGGGAAGCCTGCTTCTCCCTCTCCCACTCCCCCTGCTTGTGTTCCTGCTCTCGCTTTGTCTATGTCAAATAAACAAACAAATTCTAAAAAAAAAAAAAAAAAAAAAGTTTTTTTTTTTTTTTTTTTTTAAGTCATCTCTACACCCAACACCGGGCTCGAACCCACAACCCCGAGACTGAGAGTCGCACACTCCACTGACCGAGCCAGCCAGGCGCCCCGTGTGTCTGTCTGTCTCCATGTGTTCTTTGTCTCTGCATGTGGTGGCTGTTGCCCTATATGGGATGTTGTGGTGAATGTGGCTCATTCTCTGTGGGTGGGCTGGTCCCTGTATGTACGAGTGTGTGTGTCCCTCAGAATCCTAATGAGAAAACACCTGCCCCCACATTCCTGGCGCGGGGGAGAGAGGGGGAAGTGTGCACGAGGTGGGATCCCCAAGTCACAGCGCTCTTTCTCAGAGTAGTTGTGTTCTTTATTGTTATTGCTGTTCACAGTAGGAGTGTCACTGCTGAGGACATTTTCGGAGGGGAGGCTCAGCCAAACCTCATCGGACCAGGGGCCAGGGAGGGGGACAGTGGCCCCCTGAGACAGGGACTCTGGAGCCCGAGGCCTGGGTCTTCCACCTGAGATCCCTGAATGGGAGGGGGCAGAGAAGAGGCAGGCTGGACCCTTGAAGACCCAAGTTTTTTCCCCACTCCTCCCAGGAGGGCTTGTGCCCATTCCCTGCCCTCCCCACCACAGAGAAACTGAGTCAGGACAGGCTCAGCTGGGTGAGGAAGGGCTTACCCTTCCTGAGTTGGGCCTTGGTGGGGGCCCAGGGACACCCCACATCTGCCACATAACTTCTTGGGCTGGACACTTTTCCTGGGCACGAGCCAGCAGCTGGAGCAGCGAGTGCCATATTTCTTGTACCTGGAGTGGGGGTGCAAGAAACCAACATCAGAATGCAGCAGGGGTCCAGAAACTACCACTTTCTGGGTAGTTCCACTTTCCGCAAGGGTGAGTGTTTCCCCTCCCAGAACCCCACACTGGCTAAGCATCCAAACTCCTTCCATCCTGAGGACCTGATACCACAGGCATTGCAGAGAGGGGTCCCATCTTCAGCATCTCTCCAGAGTGGGGTCCTTTGGGTCCTACAGGAAGCACAGCACCGGGGCCCTGAGGGGGCAGAGGTCAAAGGGTAAGGGGCAGAGGCCAAGAGTCTGGGCTCAGGAGGCCTGTGCAGGTGGGGCATTTTGTTAGAGTCTCTACGAAGGCCCCACCTGGCTCTGGGCCAACCCTGGGTATTACCAGACCTAAGACAGAGGGAAAGCCAGGAAGGGAGACAGATGGCAAAGCTAAGCAGAGGAAGAAACCGGGGGTGGGGGTGACTCAGCCTGAGTGGAGGGAGGTGCACCATGACTCCTTCTGGATGGGTCTAAATGGGGAAGCAGGATGGGAAGAAAGACAGAGAAGATGGGAAACTGCCCCCCCCCCCCCATATTTATAGCTCTTAAGTCACCAGGACTCACCGAGGGCCTCGCCGCCTCCTGAGTTGGCCTCAGGACCCCTGGCAGGACCTGTAGAGGGACCCTGAGAGCGGCTACTGCAGGCCAGGCTGGGGAGTAGACAGGAGTTAGCATTGGGGGTCTGTACCTTGTCCCAGGCAGCGGCCCCTCAGTGATGATTTACTATCGGGATTTGAGGCATCCCCCAAGGAGGCGTCTGATGTCTGAAAGGCCTGGCCTTGTCCCTCATCAGTAATGAGTATTATGTGAAGAGGTAGGAAGTCTGGGGCCAGCCTGCCAGTTTGGGATCCCATTTCTCCTGAGTCCTCACTGCGTGACTCCGGACAAGCGATCGCATCCTCTGCACCTCAGTTTCCAAATCTGCAAAATGGGCTTCACAAGGCTTCAGGGAGCCCATATACATCAAGGGCTACCTGTTACCTCTCATGGTTGTTGTTCCTGACAGGTGGTGGTCATGATCATTACTGGGAAAAACAACAGTTAGCAACCACCCTCAGTATGGTCAGGCCCGTCTCGTAAACAGGACCTATGCTCGGACCAGGACATTGCTGGGTCACGGCGCCAGCCTGAGGTCTCGCTCAGAGGCTGGGCCATTTGTAACGTAGGGCTGGTGTGGGGCGCCCGCGAGCAGATGCCGGGAGGCCCCTGCCCCCACCATTATTACTATAACTTGCAAAAGGGCGCCCTCCTCTGGGCCAGCCCCTACCTGTAGCTGGGTATGATCTGTAGGCTGGAATCCGGCTTTATCTGAAACTTCAGGGTCACCCCCTCGAACCGGGGGTCCACTTTCTCAGCGCCCGGGTGGGGCTTTGACTGCTTCCGGGGCCTCCTCTGGGGTAGGGCTGAGGGGGCTGGGGGAGCCTCCAGGGGCCCTGAGCTGCAGCATGGCTGGCTGATTGGGGTCAGCATGTTCTTGGCATCCCTTGCCAGAGGCGAGGGTCCCAGAGTCTCCAAGGCCTTCAGCTCCCAGCAGGGCCCCAGGGCTTGGGTGTCCCGGGCAGGGGGCTGAACCAGCCCTTCTGCTGTTTCTTGGAGGAAACGCAGGGCAGTGACTGAGTCCTGGCTTGCAGGCCAGAAGGACCTGGGGACAAGGGACAGTGTGGTCACCCCCTTCCCTGGGCAGCACCAATGCAGTCCTCAGAGACATGGGGGAATTGCGTGGCCTCTGACCCCCATATGACCCCCGTATGACCCCGAGTATCCCTCGGGACCAGAACTTCTTTTTAAGTGCCAGTAACTAACATGGTGACCTCTGGATAACCCCCAGGAACCAGAGGTCATGACCCTTTGACCCCTGGATCAAGTTGGGGGAAGGGGCCGCTCCTGAACGCACCTGCCATTGGGTCTGGGGCATCCTGGGGTCCTTGGTGCCTGCTGAGCAGGGGGCGCCCGGGGCGGCTTAGGGTCCAGACACGGCGGCGCCAGGAGCTCTTGCAGCTTCGAGAAGTCTGGGACCGGTTCGGCCTCCATCACGCCCCGGCCCAGCCCCACTTCCCTAATCGCGCCCGGCCCCGCCCACCCTGAGCCCACTCGATGAGCCCCACCTGAGTGGAGGAGGACGTGCCCGGTGGGGGCGCTTCTGGCAGAGGCTGCGAGGAGCCCCACCTGGGCTGGGCGGGGCGGGGCGAGCGCGGCGGGGCGCCTCTGGCAGGCAGCGCTGGGCGCCCGGGGCCAAGCTCCCCCCGCCCCCCCAGGCCGGCCTCGGTCCCACTCTGGCAGCTCCGCTCGGGGGGCCCTCAGACCCCTCCAGGCCAGCCTGGATCCCCGCAAATCCCTCCGCGGCCGGGGGGGCGGGGCTTGGGCACGCGGGTGCACGTGGGCTCGGGCTCCCGGGCTCTCCAGGACGCCAGCTTCCGGGCCTCTGCCTCAGCCGTCCCGCGACCCCAGCGCTGCCGTGGGAGGGGGGAGTTGGGGGCCCAGAAGGTGCGGCTCCAGACCCCAGGGCCTGCCCTCCCCGCCCCCCCCCAGGAGCCTCAAGACACTGGAGGTCTGTGAGACGGTTTTATTGTTGTTCCAGTCAGATTCCACCCTATCCACACACTGATTCTCCTGAGTTTGGGGGAGGCCACCCCAGCAGGGCTGGGGCCCCCTCGGCCTCCCAGACCAGAACCTGGACATGGGATCTCTCTGAGGCAGGGGCTCTGGCCTTCTGGTTGCTTCCAACATCTCTCTCGGGCCTGTCCATGCTCTGGGCTGGGCTGGCAACTTGGCTATTCCTGCAGTCCCGGCCGCGGGGCCGCGGGTGCCCGGGGTGTCAGTGGGGCTTGGGGACATGGCCGTCCACATAGAAGTTCCTGGTGATCTTTGGCAGCGTGAATTCGGCCCCTTCCAGCTCAGGAGTCAGCACGATTTGGCAGCCCAGCCGGGAGTTCTCCTGAAGAAGCGGGGCCATGTCCAGCATGTCGTCCTCCCTGCAGCAAGGAGAAGAGCAGTCACCCAGGGGCAAGCTGTCCAGCTGGTGGGGGCCCCACAGGGCAGGGACGAGGCACCTCTCAGGCCGGCGCGGGGCAGCGCCACGGCCAGCAGCTGCAGGGCCGAGTCGGGCTGGGGCTGCGTGGCGTGGCCCACACGGGCCTCTGCACAGCGGGGAGGGGCTGCCCCCGCTCACCTCTCGGTGGGAGGAGGCAGAAGGTCCAGGTGGTCCTCGCTCACGTACACGTGGCAGGTAGAGCACGCCAGGGAAGCTTCACAGGCCCCTGGGGGCAACAAGTGAGGAGGTGCCAGTGAGGGGCACGGTCAGGTAGGCACCATGAGGTCAAGGACAGAAGGGGGAAGAGGAAGAGGCCCTTTGTTTCCCCGTGCGCCCCTCGTCCGTCCTTCCCGGGCCCGCACCGAGCGCACCCTCCACCCTGTCATCCACTCGGCTAGCTGCTCCCGAGCTGCGTGTAAGTTTTGCAAAGGGACATCCAGGGTGTCCCGTCTCCCAAGGACCACCCCCCCAGCAGGCTGTGGACCAGACTGCGTACACGGAACCATGAATGAGCGTGGACTTGACTTCAGTGTGGCTGAGGGGGAAAAAGGCAGGGTCCCTGCAGCCTGTAAGCCCTTGCAGGGACCCTGTCACTGTGCTGGGCAAAGGGGTTTCCCTCTATCTCTTGCTCCCGAAGATGGGACCTGCTTCCTCAACACTCAGTGTGGCAGGGGAAGAGACCAGAAAATAAGGGTTGAAAGATACAGAAGCTGGGGTTTCCTGCTTTTCCCCCGGACGCATTCCCACCCTTTGGACTGATCACTGAGAATTGCGCTTTGGGGATAATGTCCCTCCTGGTCTAAAACCTTCCAAGGCCTTTTCCAAAACCAAACTCTTCCACTCAATCTCTGAGATCCTCCCGACCCCTCACTCACTCACTTCAGCCACACTGCCCCCCCGCCCCAACTCCAACACACCAAGCTCGTCCCCAGCACATGGCCTCTGCACTCGTTGCACCCTCGCCCTGGAATGTTCTTCTCTCCACTCTTTTACCAACAGAACTCATCTGTTTTCCAGTTCCCCCATCTCCTGTTTCTTATCCTCTCCCCGCACCACCCCCCACCCCTGCCTGGCCTTGGGGACTCTAATTTCTGCACAGCATTTACCACAGTCTCAGGTTACCACCTGAATCTCTGGGTGTACCTATGCTCCATCAACCTGGCCTCCGTCTTTGTACTTGGCACCAAGCCTGGCATATGGATGCTCAAGAGACATGTGTTTTAAATGAATGGGACAGAATTCCCTCTGTCTTCCACACGTGTTGGATAATGAAGATGTAGCTGCAAAGCAGCCTCCTGACCTGGGAGAACCTCCCAGGGGGACCTGGTGACTTTGCCCACACTCCCCGTCTCCTGGGGATAAAATGTCTGGACCCTGAAGCTCCAGGCAGTCCCCAAGGAATCTCTTCCTCAGTCCTGTTTCCCACCTCATTAGCACCCTCATCCCATGAGATAGAGATTATTGAATACGATAGTCCCAGCTAGGCACTGCATACTAACCAGGTGCCAGGCATTCAGCACTATGTCCGAGATCTGTTTAAGCCTCCAGAGCAACCCAGTGAGATAGTAACTAAATTATCCCCTTTTATACATGAGGCATCAGAGGCCCAGAGAGGTAAAGTACCTTGCTCAGAGTCATAGAGCTGGTAAGAGGCAAAATATGAACACAGGCCACTTGCCTCTAAAACTCATGTTCCAACCTGTCCTGGACTCCTGGTGACTGGATTCCAGAACAGAACTTGAGGTAGGCCTGCCATGACCAGCCCCCCAACATCCCCACCCCCGATAATGATTAAATCAGGCTCTGTATTATATTCACCCAACAAATAACCCTGTACATTTTTTTTTCAGACTGCCCTTTCCAGCTGCTCATGATATAATTACATGTTTATTCCTGGGATTATGGTCCCTATTAAGTTGAAATTGATGTGAAATGATAGGGGCCTTGTCTGTTTTGTACATTGCTGCCTGGCAAACAAGGTGTTCAATATACAGAGAAGAGCAGCACAGATTAGTGGCTAAAATAAGCTGGCTTTGAATCTAGTTTTGCCACTTACTTGACCCTGGATCATGTCAACTTAACCTGGGGCTGCTTCCTCACCTATAAAATGAGATAACAATCTTCCCTATCACATAACCTTATCAGGAAGTAGGTATTTAATGCACTTAAAATAATGTCTGCTATGATTATCTTCTCCTCAGCAAATACTGATTTAATACCCGTTACATCTAAACACCATGACAGGCAACCGATAAGTAGCACCAGGGTTTCTGATCTCATTCTGAAGACAGATGACAAAAAGGAAACAAGACACTAAGAAGTGTTAGGAGGACAATAAAGCACACTGAGGTGACAGTGACCAGGGGTGCGGGTTTTGGCTGGGCTGAGGGGAGGAGATTGTCAGAAAGATGACATTTACGTTGAGACCTGACGGATTAATCTGGTGGGAAAGTACTTCAGATGTCTGCAGCAGCAAATGCAAAAGCCCCGAGGCAGGAATGGACTTGGCTTTTTGTTTGAGGAACAGCAGGAAAGCCAGTGTGTCTAGATTAGAGAGAGGAAGGAGGGAGAGAATACAAGCTCCTGGAGGGCAGGAATTTTAATGACCTCTAATAAATGCTCAATAAATAGCTGCTGAGTGAATGAAGGTTTAGAGCTGGTCAGGGTTTGAGACATTGGTGAGGAGTCTGGATTTTAGCCATGTTTGATGGGAAGCCACGGGAGGGTGAAGTAACGGAGGAGAACGGTATCTGATTTGCAGGGTTTTTAAAACAATGAATAAGGACCTCCCCAATTCCCAGTGTGGGGTTCCCACCTTCCAGGTCCACTCCATGGCGCTGGGCCAGGTAAAGAACATTGTCCCCCACTCTGCCGCTCACCGGAATCCGTTGGCCTGACCGGTCTACGAACACCACGTTCACCCTGGGGACAGACGGGGGTGCAGATACCAAACTTGATGGTGGGCGCGGTGGCCAGGTCACGTCTAGGGTTAGGGGGCCTAGACGGCCAGGGGAATAGGACGAGGTAGAAGGGGGACACAGAGATGAGGCTGCAGGGCAAGGCGGGGACCGGAGGAACCTCGTGGGATAAAGAATGGGGGACTTAGCCCCCTACACTCACACGTCCCCGGGCCGCTCGGGGCCGCCAGCTTCTTCTTCCCCCGCCGGGCGCGAGTCTGGAAAACACGGTTGGGTGAGCGGCCGCGGCGCGCCTTGCGGGCGTCCGGCGGGTTAACGCTGTCCCCCAAAGCGCCCCAGGTACCTGTTGCTCGAAATCTTCTGGCTGTCACTGGCGCCGCCGCCTCCCCCGACCCCCGAGAGCCCCCACGCCGGCTCCACCAGGCTCCACCAGCCGCCCTCAGCAGGAACCCAGCACTCACGCCCCCCCGGGCCACGGAGGCCGCCATGACAGGCATCACGTGATCCGGGTCTGGGCATGCCCAGTGGCAGCCACGCGACCAAAGGGCCCGTAATTGCCCGAATATGAGCTCTGCCGTTTGAGTGGGGAGCGTGCGAGGAAGGACTCCAGGGACTGCCAGAGCGCGAGGGAGCCATGCCGGCTCACCCACACGAAAGACCTGCGGGGCCATCCCCGACTACCCACCCAGGCCCACTGTTTGTCCCAAGAACCAGCCAGCTCTGCTTTCTTTAAAACCATTTACTTACAAACTTTAATTCAGCAAAGGAAGGTCTGAGAGAGAGGACTGGGGAGACGACACCCCCCTGGAGTGGATGTGGACCCCCCCAGAGTCAGGGGAGGGAAGCTGGTGGCCCAGCCGGCCAGGGGGAGGGCCCAGGATCTCCTCAGGCCGACAGGTCCTGCTGGTGGGCAGGGGCAGAGCTTATCTGCATGAAATTGCTGGACTGGGCACTGGGCCAACAGGAGGCCAGCTCCAGGTGATCTAGCCTGGGGATGGAGAGGTGGAGCTCATCTTCAACATGGGGGCGGGCGGGGGGAGACAGCAGAGGCTGTGAGATGCACAATAACCGGACTCCCACAGACTGACAGCAGGACTGGTTTAAGCTGGCAGAGAAAACCCGTCTCTGCACACACGCCTGGGTAGGAGGGATGACGGGGTTGGTATGCCAAGACCAAGGCTTTGGCCTTCTACTGTCCTCAGAGTGGGGACCCTGGGTAGAGGGGCCCAATCCCCAGGCCAGAGCCATTTGGTCCTGAGTCAAGCTTCCGGAGCTCGGCATCTAAGAGGCTCTGACCACAGGGCCTGGGACCCGGCTTTAAGGCATCAGAAGGCAAGGGAACTGTGGCAGGGGGCTGGGAACCCCCAGCTGGAATACAGGCCAGAGTGGGCAGGCAGGGGCAGGACACAGCCATGCCTGCAGCAGACATGAGAGAAAGAGGGCTGAGCCATTTCAAACCGAAAAGAGTGGAATGAAGGCCCAGACATGCTGGACCTTGAAGGAATCAGAGCTGGGGGTCGTCCTGGATTGTTTAAAAAATAATACAAATTAGAAAAGGAAACAAAAGTCAATTGTCAAAGTTAAAAAAGGGGGACAGTCTCTGATCCTCACGGGAGGTCAGGGGAACCTCCAAGGCACTCAAAAGGCCAAGATACAGGAGTGACTAGGCAGGAGAGGACTCCCAGAGAGACACAGACACAGGCGGATACAGGGGAGGGGACAGAGAGCAGGCCAGGGCCCCTCTCTCTTAAGGCTGTAGAGTTTCCATGCCGGGAGCAGGCCAGAGGTGCATAGTGGCCCCCAGACTCCCCCACACTCCTTGGGTTCCGGCTGGTTGGTCAACAAAGTCTTTCAGAGATTTTTCTATTACTGAAAGGGGGGGAAAAAAAACACAAACAGAACACCAGAAAACCCAAAAGCGATTTGGTGCAGGCCCTTGAGCATCTCTGGCACTGGACCCTTAGAAAATCCGCTTGCGCTTCAGGTAGGAATCTGCGTAGTGGCCCCCAAGGCCCTGGGAGTGCTGGCCCACATAGCTGCCTTCAGGGCTGGGCTCGGGTGAGGGCAGCAGGTGGGCAAAGCTGCGTTTCTGGCCACCCAGTGGGGTCTAGAGACAGAGGGGAGGGGGTGACAAGTCAGAGGCCATCCAGGGGCCACTGCTCCCCAACCCGGCGCGTCCCCGCTGCCCTCCCCACCCACCCCCCGTACCTTCAGCAGGTGGCTGTGGCCATTTGGCCCAGGGCCGAGGCCCAGGAGCCCTTCTCCGGAGCCCAGTGGAGAGGAGCTGACAGCCTGGGAGACATGGGAGAGAGATGCAATGGGAGAGGAAGTGGCCCCCAGGGCAAAGGCAAGGGGTTTCAGGCTTGAAACTCATCAGCTAGGAGACTGGGGGGGGGCTTCTTTTTTCTGAGCCTGTTGCCTCATCTGTCAACTGGGGCTAATCGCACCCACACCGCAGGCTACTGGGGAGGGAGTGAAAGGTGGCCAGGAAGGCTGGGCAACATTAGGTGCAAGACACACAGGTGTGGGGATGGCCCGTTTGAGCTCATCCCTGAGCAGAGCTGACCCCCGCTCTGCCACCACCTTGGCCTGGGCCTAGGCACCAGAGGTCGCAGGGGCTCCTGCATCCTGGCTGTCCCTGGGGAACTGTCCGCAGCTGGGGAAGCTCCTCACCTTGTTAAGGTGGCTCTGCTTGAGGCCAGCCTGCAGGCCACTGGTGAAGTAGGAAGTGGGAGAGCCCGAATAGAAGTGGGAGAGGGGCCCCCCGCCGCCCCCGCCACTCCGTTCTCCGAAACCACTTGGCGGGGGGGACATCTGCAGAGAGGGGGGCGGGCCGAGTGAGACAGATTGTTGAAGAATCCAACCCATTCTGTAGATCCTCCCAAATGCCCCCTCCCCCCCAGCTTTGGCCAATGGGACAGCAGCATGACGCTGAAGACAGAGGTGCCTGGCCTCCCTGCTTCCTCTTGGGAACCCCGGGACCACCACCACACGCGGGCCAGCCTCACAGGGTGACCTGCTGGAGAACGAGCTCCAGGGGCAGCAGATAAATCATCCCAGCTGAGTCCCCTTCCCCCGCCTACTAACTGCCAGGTATGTGACTAAAACCAGTGCAGACTGCTCAGCCCCAGCTGTGCTGCCAGGGAACCACCTGCTGAGCTCCCCGAAGACTGGTGAGAAATCAAGTATCTGCTGTTCTGAGCGACCAAGTGGTGGGGCCGCTTGTTATGCGGCAAAAGCTAGCGGATACGCCCAGGAGATAAGATGGACGGGGCAGCTCTTACTTTGTGTCGGCTGGGTCTGTGAGGCCCTAGCGCCGGCTCCCGGGGGTGGGAGAAGAGCCGCCGAGGTCCCACATCCTGAAGGGAAGGGAGAGAAGCATGTTGGGTGGGAGTCTGCACCAGCTTCACCCCTGGCTGAGTTCCACGGCACAGATGTCCCGGGGAAGTCTGGCCCCCTCCAGCAGAGGGCACACCTGACTGTGTGCGGGCGACTTCCAACTGCAGGCTGGGCAGCTGGGATGAGATGGAGTGTGCGCCCCACGGCAGAGAGGGGTTCCACATCAGCCCCGGAGGCGGCTGCTATGAAGGTGTGTGGCCCCTGTGGGGCCAGGTGTTCACAGTGTTTCGAGGCCACTGGGCATCTGCATTGTGTGAGCCCTTTTATATGTTAGCGTTGACATTTATTTCAGTTGTTACTTTTTTAAACCTGGTGTGAGCCAGGGGCGCCTGGGTGGCTCAGTCGTTAGGAGTCTGCTTTCCGCTCAGGTCATGGTCCCAGGGTCCTGAGATCGAGCCCCACATCGGGCTCCCCGCTCAGCAGGAAGCCTGCTTCTCCCTCTCCCACTCCCCCTGCTTGTGTTCCCTCTCTCGCTGTCTCTCTCTGTCAAATAAATAAAATCTTAAAAATAAATATATAAATAAGCAAACCTGGTGTATGCCAAACATAACACAGGGGGGCCTGCGGGTGGCCGGGCTGCAACACCTGACCCCGGGGGAGGCTGGGATCACAGAAGGAGCAGCTCTCCAGGGACAGGGACAAGAGTCAGATAAGGGAGAGAAGGACAGAAAGACCAACAGGACACCGAGCCTTGTCTTTAAGAGGCCAAAGCCCAGCCTAACGCCTCTTGGGAGAGAAAGACAGACGGGAAGCAGGTCTGATGTGAAGAGACAAACAGACATGAGACAGGGCGGGGACTGTGTCTGGCACCTTCCCCGCGACCTCCCTAGTGCTCTCCTGGCCTTCGGTATTACAGAAATAATGCTCCGGAGAATGACTCTCTCTGGGGGAACAAAGGGCCACAGTGGCAGCCCTCGGGAGGCTGACCGCACGGCAGCGAGGTACTCACCGAGGGGTAGTCGAAACCACAGCTGTCAGGCAGCCCTGGTTCAGGGGGCAGGCGGGTGCTGGCGAGAGGGCTGAGCAGGCGGGACTTGAGCTGGAAGGCTTTGCTGCTGCCGCCGCCTCCACCACCACCTCCAGGGGCTGGGGGGTTAGGCAGGTGGCCCTCAGCCGGGCGGCGGCTTCTCCCTGTGCCTCCCCAGCCCCGAGCCTCCTTACCCGCCAGGTTGCTGGCCGGGAGTAGGCTGTGTAGGTTCAGGTAGGGATTCAGGGGGATCCGGAAGTCCTTTGGGGGTTCCCCCAGCAGCGAGACCTGTGGTGGGAGGGCTGGATTCGTGAGGGCCCCTGGCAGGCGGGCTCTTGCAGGTCAGGAGGCCGGATCGGTACTGGGTACAGGGCAGAGCCTTACCCCAGGGGGTGCTGGCAGAGGTCCACTGTCTTTCTGGAGGCTCCTAAGGCCGGTGCCTCGGAGTCCCACTGGGGCAGGGGGTGGAGTGAGCTGGGCTGCTGGGGGACCCAGGCCTATGGCTTCCCGGTCACCCCCAGAGGGGCCAAGCAGTGGCGGCAGCAGAGGTGGCGGCTTCCCTCGCCGGGGCGGCAGCTCCGGGGGCAGGGCCCCCCCTACAGGGAGAAGATGATGTTGGCGCCCAACCCCAACCCCACAGGCCCCGTCTTCCCGGGGCCCTGAGCCTCCACTTGGACCCGGACCAGCAGGTATGTGGTGGGCACTGTGCAGAGCCCTCTAAGCACATCACCTCCCAGGATGCTCCCAGCCACCCTGGGAGGTGAGGGCCCAATTGACAGATGGGGCCACTGAGACCCAGAGAAATGAGATCATGTGTCCATGCCTAGTAAGGAAAGGGGCTCAGAAAGGGGAAGTGGGAACGGGGTCCAGAAAGATGAGGGGGCGCAGGGTCTGTGTTACCTGCAGACAGCTCCCCGAGGAGGGGGTTGGCCGGCTGGGCCCCAGGCTGAAGGGTGCCCAGGGGAGAGTCTCCCAAGATCCCGGGCTTCTGGAGACAGAGCACAATCAGCTGGAGATGGGCCAGTGTGGCCCGGACAGCAGACAGGGGTCACCACACCCAGCACACCCGGACTCCAGGCCCCAGCCCGTCATGGGCAGACACGCACAGTGTCCCCCAGTGTCTGCAACATCCCAGCCGTCACCCATCTGGCCACCCAGTGGTGACGGAGGGCCTCCTGCATACCAGACCCTGGAGAGACCCCGGGGACATGCACCATATGCTCGGCGTGTCAGGGCCCATCAGCCACACTGCTAACCACGGTCAGACACACATAAGATGACAGTCCTTCCCAGGCACACTGTCCCACACCCGGTCCCCCTGTTGGAAGCACAGTGTCCAACACAGTGCCCCAGCCACATGGAGCCAGTCACTTTTAGCCAAGCAAGCCCCTGATTCCATCAGTGACGGTCAGACGCACCCACGTCACTGACTTGGCCCTAGTGAACCAAACCGGGTGGATCAGTGGCATGTGTGTGTGCGTGTGCGTGTGCATGTGCGTATCTTGGTCTGCCTGGGTCTCCGTGTACACGCGATGAGAAGGCGGGAGCGAGCCACCAGCAAGCTACTCCCCTGTGAAGCCTGGACTTCCTCTCCCAGACTGAGTCACTGCCTGAGTCCTGAGCACCTGCCATGGACACGACCACATGTCCCGTCACCCTGCCGATGCCAAGCCACTGGCAGGTGCGAGGGGGTGTGAAATGGACCGACGAGGGGCAGGGGCGTGCGTGTGTGCGCGGAGGGCCCGGGGCCGCGCAGTTACCTTCTGACTCTGGGTCTGCAGGGCGAGCTGCAGGAGCGCCGTGGATAGGGCGGGCCCGCTGAGCAGTGGCATGGCCGGAGGTGCACCCAGGAGGCCTGGGGGAGACCGGGAAGTGAGCAGCGGACCCTGGATGGAAGCGCCCGCCCCAATTAAGCACAACCCCGGGCCTGAAGCTCCCAGAAAACAACTGATGTCCCCAAAACAAGGGCCCAGGAGGGGAGTCTGCCCCAGGGAGGGACAGCCCTTTCCACTACCCTGCTTCACTGCAGGTGGCTCTGCTCCCCCCCCGCCACCCCTTGAGGGGCTCGGGGCACCAGCTCCCTTTGGTGACTGCCGCTCTCATCCCAGCCCCTGCTCACGGGCTCGAGTCACTTAGAGCTCAGATGGGAAAAAAGCCTGGGGAGGCGCTGGGTTCCGAGAGCGCTGGGGACCCCGGCCGCCACTCTCCGGGCCCCACCTTACCCTGCTTGCCCCCTGCACTGCCGTGGAGCAGGGGGTGCAACAGCAGCTGGAGGGAAGCAGAGGGCCCCAGGTTGTTGAGCAGCTGCAGGATGTTGGGCTCGGGCAGGAGTCCTTTGCCCCGATTGAGGGCCTGTAGAGAGAAATGGAAGAGCGGCTTAGAGCCCCACCTGGCCTCAGGGATGTGGGCTCACCCATCCCTCTCATCCCGAGTCCAGCCGACACCCTGACTTTTTAAGAGAGGAGGACCTGGCCCCTGGTTCCCCCACCCCCACCCCCAGGGGTACACTTCCCAGGCAGGCACTCACCGTGGCCTGGGCAGCGATGAGCGCGGCCAGCATGCTGCGGCCAGGGGGCCCTGGGGCACAGAAGGAGACGCGCAAGTGGCTGCCCCCCAGCGCCAGGCCGTCCGCCCGCTGCTGCGCTTCTTCTGCCATTTCCGCCGTCTCGTACTCCAGCACAGCGAAGCCCTTCAGCTGCCCATCCTGGCCATATGCCAGCTGGGGGGGGGGGGTAGACGTGAGCACCCAAGTGGCAGTGGCAGCCCTCATGTGAAGTGACAACAGCGACCAGACTGGGATCCCGATCATGACCGTGAATTCCCCAGAGGGCGTGGGTTTTTGGCCCTACGCTCTTCTAAGCCCTGTTCCTGCATTAGCTCATCGAATCTTCTCAGTGGCCCCAGGAGGCTGCATCCTACCCATTTTTCAGAGCAGACAGCTGAGGTTCAGAAAGGTCAACATGCCCAAGGTCACAGAGCGTGTAGGAGTGCAAAGCTGGGGTCCACCTCGCATGGGTCAAGTCCCCTGGGGCTCAGGCCAGCACTACTTTGGGACTCTGATGGGGACTGCCCAGCACACGAAGGCGCAGGAAGGACACAGCCTGGGGGTGAGACATGTGGCCTCCAAGCTCGGGTTCAAGACCGGATGTGCCAGTTGGGAGGGAGGTCACACAACCAGTGAGGCCCCCCCCACCCTGCCTCCCCTGACAGCAGCCCGTTGGTACTTTAGGCCCACAGCCCCTCTTCCAGACCCTGGGGCCAGATGTGTCCCAGGACTAAGACTTTTTTGGAAGAAAGGGAGGATGCTGCACATGCTATATATCGTGTGTCCGTTCCCCCACTGGGGTCTGGGGCTCCCGCACATCAGACGCCCAGATCTCTGCAGCAAGACACAAATGGCCCCATCAGATCAGGTCAGGTCAGGCTCTGCCACCATGAGAGCCTGCCACCCACTCAGGGAACGAACCTCTTGGTTTTCGGGGCATCGTGGGTGCTGTCCCAGGGCAGACAGGTCCCGGGCGAGCACCCGGCTGGCCCGTGCCTGCTCGCGGGCTGGGCGCCACAGGGGCTGTTTCACCACTTTGCAGAGCCAGGCACGGGCAGCACTCCCACTCCGCAGGGGAGGAAACAGGCTCCGAGAAGGGCAGTCCCTTGCCCGGGCCATGGAGCTGGAGCTGGGAGCGGACGAGGCCGCGCTGCTGCCCTTCAAGAAACCAGCCGCCTGTGTGTGGCTATGGCTGATTTGGGAACCAGTGATGCTCCTCCCGGTCCCCAGTGACGCACAGTGTGGTATGGAACCAAGACAATGTCCATCCACAGAGGACAGCGGAGTCCACGAAATGGAATATGGTGTGGTCCCAACAGCAATGGAAAAGCTCTCGTGTCTGAGCACGAAAATATGGCCAAGACCGAAGGGAAGAACCAAACCGAAGCAGGCACAGCAACATCTGGGTCAGGAAAAGGGGAACGCAAAGACATACACACACATCTGTTTGAAATGCGTAATGAAATCTCGCCGGAAGGAGACACCACCACAACCTGGTTTGAGCAGGGACTGCAGGCAAAGGCGCCGGGGGGAGGGGAGCCTTCACCACTGACCTTTCTGCACTTGCTGAATTTCCAAACAGGACTGGACTGCCCATTCACAAAAATAAATAAAATGGAAAAGGCTTCTTAAAACACCCAAGGTCTCATGACACCTGCTTTATTAGCGTCGACAGCATTGAGATGCTAGGGAAACCGGCGTGTGACTAACTGGCAAAGCGCGCCAGAGCGGGTTGCTAGGGCATTTCCCTGATGGTCTCATCTTGGTGATGTTGAAAATGATGCTCCCCACCAGGACAGCCAGTTCCCAGCTTGGCATCCAGCCTTCTTGGAAGGTGAGGGTGCCCGCTTAAGAGTGGGGGGCCCCGGGGTCAGCTGACGGACCTCGACTCCCAGCCCACCTTACTGGCAGGCTGGTGTGGGCACATCACTGCACATGCCCAGCCCTGGGCCTTGTTTTCCTCATCTGTAAAGTGGGGCCAGCACACAAACCCACCTCAAACAGTGGTTGTGGGGATTTAAGATGCTCCCCAGGGGCAAGGAAGGGTGGTATTCTAGATGTGCACCTGCTCTGAGTGCCCAGGTAGGGTGGCTCCAGCTGTCAGCCCACCTCTACTGAGCACTTCACCTTCACCTCTGTCCAAGGCCCAGATGCACATCTTCTAATATGTGCCATCTTACAGAGGAAGAGAGAGAGGGGTCAAAGTGCAACCAAGGCTTCACGGCTCCTAAGGAGGGAGATTGAGGCTCAAACCTCAACGTGCCTGACTCCTGAGCCCGGCCTCCATTCAACCAGGACACCTACTGTAAGTGGAAGCATGTACAAGTAGCCATTCACAATAACCCAATCACAAAGCACTGCTAGCCCCATTTCCAGATGGGAAAACTAAGGCTTGGAGCAAGAACTTAGCTGGTCATAGCCCTGCTGTCCCATCTTCATAAGAGAGGACGTGGCTGCCAAGCTAAGTCATCTGTCCCCTGAGCCCCCCACCCAGGGCCTAGCACAGGGCAGGTACGCAACAGAACGCAGCAGCGTGACCAAATGCAAAGTGAGCAAGGAGCGGGCTTCCTAGGACTCCACTTACACAAGGGAAGCGGGACTCACCCGCGGCCACTGGGGTCAGGGCCCGTCCACCAGCTCCGTCAGGCTGGCCTGGGGCTTGGAACCAGGCTGCAGCGTTCCCATCCCAGCCCTGCCACACCCTGGCTGTAGAGCCCTGGGTAGGGCACTTGAACTTGTGCCACCTGAAAATGGGGTGTTACCTGCCTCTCTGGGCTGTTCTAGGATGAAGGGATTCTAAGGAATGTGCCCAGTGGGTGCTGAAGGAATATCTATGCTGGGGGTCTGTGGGTAAAGCTATCTGGGGGCTGAGGAGTGGGCCTGGCTTGTTCTCACGCCACTGTGCCTGTCACAGGGCCCGGCAGGCACACAGATGTGCATTACACATGTGACTCGGATGAACCAGAGACTGTTTTGCCAACCCAACGTGTGAGTGTTGAATCCTTTTATGGAGGAGGGAAACCAAGACTCAGAGAGTGAGTGACTTGCCCAGAGGCACAGAGCCGGGCTGGAATCCAGCCAAGCCCAACTTCCTGACCTCCAGGCTCAAATGGACTGTGGGCTTCTCTGGACAGCCTCCTCAAAGCCAGGCCTAGGAGCCGGGAGGCCACTCGGCAAAAGTCTGATGAACACGGAAATGGGAGCGGGAGGTGAGCAAGCCTCGCACCAAGCTTTCACAAAGGCGGCCTCACCTGCGTTTTATAGGAGGCCCAAGGCCACCGAGGTTAAGCAAGTTGCTAAAGGGTGCACCGGGATCTGAGGCCCAGCCATCTGGCTCCGAGCTGGGCTGTCACCCACTACACCACGTGGCCTTTCTAACAAGAACCCCATTCAAAGTGGCAGCGCCGCTGCTTTACTAAAAAGGGACCCAGGAGATTAGAAAAGGCAGGTGATGCCAAAGGGCCCCTCTGAGGCGCTCTGGCCCCCCGCCCACCCCCAGGCCCCGGCACCAGGCCCAGGGCTCACCTGGCAAAAGGTGGGCGTGTGGGCTGCCGCCAGTGCCCGGCGCAGGGCGTCCCCGTCGCTGAAGCCAGGGGGCAGCTGGTCGACGCAGAGGCAGCGCGAATGCAGCAGCTCGGGTGTCAGCTGCCCGGCATCTGTCCAGTGCACGTAGAGGGTGCGCGGGCCCAGCGGCTTGCCCAGCAGGTCCGACTTGGCGCGGGCGGCCGAGTCCTTCTTCATGTACTCCGCGAAGCCGTAGCCCTTGGAGTGGCCGGTGCGCTCGCTGTAGACCAGAAAGCAGCGCTCCAGGCTGCCGAAGGGCCGCACCAGCTCCTCGAACTGCTGCTGGGTGAAGCTGGGGGGCAGGTTGGCCACGCAGAGCAGGGCGTCCGTGGGCTGCAGCTGTACGGACAGCTCGCGCTCCCGCAGGTGGCTCTGGTGGAAGGCGCGGATGGCAGCCTCGGCCTGCTCCCCGTTCAGCAGGGTCACGAAGGCTGCAGCGGGAGGGGGCGCGGGCTCAGGGGGCGACCCCGAGGGGCACCCCCTTCACCCCACGGCCGCCCCCCCCACCTCTCTCTACACCTTGCGTGACCTCAGAATACCCAAAAACCAGGATGTGTCAGGGACCAGCCGAGGGAATGGCTGGCAGCCTGGAGTTCCTGCTGCAGGGGTCTCCTTCCTCCCCGAGCCCCGCTTCCTGCTCTCGTCCCCGCTCCTCACCCACACAGCAGGGCTCACCTATTGTGTACCTGGCTGGGTCCTACACGCGACTAACTTGGGTGACGTACGGCCGTGGTTAAGCACGTGATCGCTGGGGCCTGGGGCTTTGATTCCAGCCCCTGAATGGCTCTGGGGTCTCAGTTTCTTCATGGGAAATGAGAATAACTTACTCCTGACAACCCCCATTTGGCCAGCAAGGAAACAGGTCCAGAGCAGTGCCCCCTGCCCCAGTGGAGGAGCCTGGACTTGAACCCAGGCAGGCAAGCCCCAGTGCCCTGCTCTGCACCCCTCCTTCACCACCTTTCCAGGCCACCAACACCTCTCATATCTAGTCCCGCTGCCACTCCTCGTTTGCTCTCCACCCAGCAGCGACAGGGAGCCTTTCAAAAGGATAATCAGATGGTGCCTTGTCCTTGTCTAGGAGTTCTCATTACAGGGGCCAGTGGATCCTGTGTGGCCTGGCCCACTGGCCTTGCTGACCTCCTCGCCCATCTCCTGCTGCTACTTCCTGAACTGTGCCAGGCCCACTCCACCCCGGGGCTTTGCGCCTGCTTCTCCCTGAGCGTGGAACCCTGACCTCCACGCTGCCTCGCCTGGTTAACCCCCACCCACGCTTCAATCTGCCTGCAAATATCACTTCCCCCACAAAGCCTAGCCTGACTTCTCCTGTTGCAGATCCCAGCTCTGTGCTCTTACAGGGCTCTGAAGCTTATGGTTTTGTGTGTGTTCGTGTACACAAACCTCCATGCTTGCAGCTGTCTGAATAACACCCTTCTCCGCAGACTAGACTATCTGTTAACTTGGTTAACAGTTACGTACCCGGTACCCAGCACACACCATTCAGTAAACATTGTTGGAAGACTGTATGAATGAGTGTGTCAGTTAAGCTCTGGATTATTGATGCTTAGCACACAGGCATGCTAGGTGCTCAGTAGATACTTGATTTGTTGCTCCTGCCAATATTTACTAAGCACCTATTAGGTGCCAGGCACCCACAGCTTTTTAGGATTTTAACATGTTTGGCCTCATGGCTAACCCAAGCAAGTCATGCCCAATTTGCTGGTGAGAAAACTGAGGCTCTGGAGGGTAAATCACTTGCCTGTGGCCACAGAGTAAGGCCAGACCAGGACTTGAACCCAGGTCCATTTGCCTCCAGGGCCCAAGAACTTAACAACTATGCTAGCCTGCCACACAGGGGTTACTGGTCCTCAGCTTCTTCTCACCCATCTTACAGATTGCAAAAAAAGGCCCTGGAAGGTTTAATACCAGCACAATGCCTGGCAGGCGCAGACACCCACAGAGAGCTTCCCATGCGGGGAGTGGGGGAGTGCCAAGGCTGACAAGACCCCTCCCTGTTCTCAGGGAGCCAGCCACCCAGTGCAGGAGGCAGGTGAGTGAGAGAGTGACAAGAGCCCAGTGTGACAGTGCTATGATGGGTAGGGCGTTTGGGGCACTATGCGAGCTGCCTGATGCCACCCGGAAAGCACTGTGGACAGCTAAGAGCACTGGCAGAGGGAACAACCTGGAACCTGATGGGTGCCCGAGGGGATGGTGAGGCTGGGGCACATCCCCGCAAGGTAGTGTCAGGAGGAGCCTCAGAGAATTTTGAAGAGAGAGAACAATGAAGGTTAGGACTGGATTTGATCAGATTTGCAACTGGATCAGAGCTGGCTACTGGTGGGGAGGGCAAGCCGGACCATGAAATCACAGAGGCAGACAGACCAGAGTGAGGCTGCCTTTTTGGCAAAGATGGAGAGGGCATGGATCAGATGGAAGTTGAGGGAATGGAGGGGCGCCAATTGTTCTGGAGGACTTGAAGGAGAAGACCACACAGGTCTGGGTTACTGGCTGGCTGGGGGGAATGGCGTGGGGAAGAGGGGAGCCCAATGCCTAGGTATCTGGCTGGGGAGCTCAGGGGAGGAACACCAAGGCTGCCTGACAATGGGCACCCAGGATGAAAGACAGAGTGGGACAACAGTCTGTCCTGCACGGCCTAGGGGACAAGGTTGGGCCCGAAGTTCAGGACAGGAAACACTGGGTGTGGACCCTCCCAGTTTCAGGGACTGTCATCTCCTGCCACTAGCCCAACCCACAGCCCCACAAACCTGTCCCTTTGTATTTGTCCACAAAACAGTACTTGAGCTCATAGTCGCTGAGCAGGTCGTGCACTTCCTGCGGAGACAGAAGCCAAAGGATACGAAGTCACCAGGGGCTGAAGGGAGCGACCCAGTGCCACCTCCACGTGGACCAGCTATGAAGGCAGATCAAATAGCAACCCCATCTTACAAATGAGGAAACATGCAGAGCTGGGATTTAGAGCCAGAGCCTAGCTGCAGACTCCAAGCTTTGAACTAACACAACACACCCTAAGACTTGGATGGGTCTGCGTTCAAGTCCCAGCTCTGCCCTTAGGGAAATAACTTCAACTCATCTGAACCTCAGGTAGCAAGTCTGACTCTCTCCAACATCCCAACAAACTGGGCATTAACCCATTTTGTAGATGAAGAAACTGAGGCTCAGAGAGGCAAAGGAACATGTCCAAGGTCATGCAGCTGGTCAGGGCAGTAGAGGGAATGCCACGCAGGGGGTACCTGACTGGGGACCCTGTGTACTTAAAAAGCCCACAGTGCATGGCTTCACGTGCCTCCCAATTCCCTCCTGTTGACAGGGCTGGTCTTCTGGTAAGCCAGCTTTGCGGGCAAACTCTGGGGCCTGCTACTGCCAGACACACTGTGCACCTTGAAGGAGATAGAGTGTTCCCAGCTGAGAGATGGTAGGCACTAGGAGAGCCAGCTCTAGGAAAAAACCGGACCATACTTAGTGGCACCTGCCCCAGGTCTGTCCCCAAGTCTGCCCCTCCCCACACTCTAAGACCCCACCAGCCATGTGCCTACTCGTGGCAGGGAGTCAGTGGCAGATGTGCAGGTGGGTCAGAGAGCAGAGACTTCTCAGCAGCAGGGAGAAAGAACCCATCTCACTGTGGCAGGGCAGGGCAGACTAGATGCAATCTCCTTGGGTCCAAAGAGCACTGGGAAGCCCTGCCCCATGTAGGCCCCAAAAGAAGGGCACCCCTGGCCAGATCAGTCAAGGGAGGGGGCACAGAACAGTGGGGGAGGTCTGCAGGTCTGTGAGCTGGGGGCACTAGACTCCATTTTTCCAAATTAATCCAGAGGCTTTTGGAGAAGAAAAACCCCAGGAGCTACTACAACTTCCGGACCTCTCAGAGGAGTCGGTAAACGCGTGCTATGGAAAGGCATACTCTAGTCAACCCTGAAACTTCTGGATACAAGGTTCCGCCGCTCCACGGTAGAGGGGGTGGGGAAAAACACAATCAGAGCAGGGAGCAACCGACATCCCTACTTCCACAGTCCCAGTATAGCAGCCCATTCACAATCCCCCAAGGCCAAAGTTGCCCGCCCCCTTCCAGTTAGTTCCCCGCCCCCTTCAATCACTTGGTTTCGTCCAAACCTGTGGTCGCCCCTAGCAACGTCCTCCCTCAGTCCAAAGTTGGTTTTTCCCTCCATCACTGCCCCCCCCCACATCTTGCTCTTGGTTTCTCCCGATCCCGCACTGATCCCGCGCTTGGACTCTCCCGCCGACGCCCCCCAGCGCAGGCCAGCGTTGGTGTCGCCCGGTTCCCCCCGCGCACGCGCATGGTGGTACTTCCCGCCACGCTCCCCCCCCCCATACCTGGTTGGTCACGTCCCCCGGGAGGCCCCGGATCAGTATCTTGCGGCGGTTACGGAACTGGCGCTCGGTATGTTCTAGCCGTTTCCGGATCTCCTCTGGATCTAGCGGCGGCAGTTCTTCTTCGGGCGCCCGGCGCTCCGCGGCATCATCAGCTTCAACCTCGGCCCCAGCCTCCGGGCTCAGCGGGGGCCGGTGAGTAACGGACACGTCGGCCGCCATCTTGGGAAACCCGGCGCCTTCTGGGACCAGCGAGCCTGGGCGGAGCGGCATAGAGCGGCAACGAGGGCGCGCCCGCCGATTGGCCAGGAGAAGCCCCACCTCCTTTCCCACCCCCTCAGCCCATTGGCCAAGGCCCATCCCGCCTCTCAGAGTTCAAGCCGCGTCTGGGCGCCACAGGCTCCACCCCTTTCTGCCACAGAGATGTCACTCAAAGGACACGAAGCGCGGTGGTTGAGCTGCTCAGCACACGAGGAATCAAACCACAGACTCCGGATTTTGAGCGCTTTATTGGTGCGGAACCCGGGGATACAGCCAAAGCCCCATCGTCCTTGGTCCAGCATTCTCCCAGCTGGAGGCTCAGGATGGATCCTCCCCCGTAGCCACCTCGGGCTGCTTAGATGTCAGGGGCAACCAAGTGCTCGCCTGGTTCACATGGTAGATGTCACTCCGCTTCTGCACACTGAAGACACACAGTAAGGCCGCGACAATAGTCACCAGGCCCAGGACCACTAACACCCCCAGGACGATGGTGACGGCGCGGGAGTTCCGATCTATGCAGAGAAGCAAGGAATAAATACACACGCTCTGCCGCCCCCACCCCCCTCGCCCCCCGCCCGGGTTTGCCCATCTAGACCCACGGCCCCGTCTTGGCTCACCCCGAACGTTCATCACCACAATCGTAGTGTGTGTGCCTCGTGAGCTGGCCGCCTTGCAGGAGTAGGTACCACTATAGTTTAATCTGACGAGGAATGGGATCCCGATGGGCACCTCGAGCCCGGAGCTTTCCTGGAAACAGTGCAGCTGGGGGTCCGGGTTGCCCCGAGCCTCGCACTGCAGGACATTGAGAGTCTTATCTTTCCACGTCAAGCGCTGAGGACATTTGGCTTGGTCAATCTTGGGACCATCTGTGGATCGGTCAAATGATTAGACACACTCGAGGCACAATGGGGCAAGGGAGAGTCTTCCCACCAAACCAGGGGAGCAAGGGTTTAAAGATCAGAGTGACCTACTCACATAGGACACGCAACTGGACGCTGCTGTTTCTGTGTAAGATCCTCCCATCCATCTCGAGGCTGGCATTGCAGAAGAAAATGCGCCTGTCGTCCCTCTCGGTGGCGTTTAGCTGAAACTGGGCAGGCTGTCCAGGGGCTGCAGCTGGAAGTCCCTCCAGCGTGACCTGGACTCGGGGTCCGGCCAAGCAAGTCACAATCACTGCGGTTCCTTCGGGGGCGCTGGGCTCACTCAGGTTTAGGATGGGCCCCTGGAAGCCTGAAGACGCGGCATAGCCCTGGAGTTTACTGACCACGCCCCTCACATCGGTCAGTTCCCGCCCTCCACCTGCCTCTTTCCTCTCGGGATATCCAGGCCATGCCTTCATGCTACTCTGAGCCCCCCCCGCCCCGCTCCTACCCAGTCCAACTTGGGGTACTCTGGCTATACCTTTCGGGTAACTTAGGCCCCGCCCACACAGCAACCCCTCCCTCTCTGCAGGCTCAGGCCCCCCCTCTCCAGTTTAGTCTCCGCCCTATGTATATGTCGCTCCACTCCGGATACCGAAGCCCCGCCCCTTGTCTCGCCGGGCTTGCTGTCTTGGCTCCGCCCCCTCTTACTGTAGATGGTCAAGTTCTCCCGGGCCTCCCTGCTGTCGCTCCCCAATGTCATGTTGCAGACAATCTCCTGGGTGCCCTCCTGCTCCACGCTCGCTGTGGCTGTGGCCGTGATCATGTTCCCGTGGCTCTCGACTGTAGAATTCAGAGTCTGGTTCCCCAGCGCCAGTTGGACCTGGACCTCGGAGGCCGGGAACAGCCCGTCCAGGGTGCAGTTCACCGACCAAGTCGTTCCCACCTCCAAGAACCGAGGGACAACGAGGTGTGGAGTGGTCATGGGCAGTGCTGGGGAGAAGGGAAGGCGTGAGCAGGGGGAGGTCTCCCAGAGCTGTGGATGCCCCTTTCCCGATGAGACGCTCACTGCCCCGAACCAGGGTCCTTCTTTCCCAGGATACCTTGCGGCCTGGATCACCCCTTCCCAGAACACACCTCCTTGGGTTTCTCGTTAGTTACCGTGGCCGCGAGTCTCCCAACTGAGGCTGCACCGTCCTCAGTGGCCAAGGGCATGCCTTTCAGAAGCCGTTGGTCCAGTCCATTCCATTCGCAAGAAACCTCCCCGCCAGGGCACCCCTATCTGGCTCAGCTCATCACCCACCCTCTGCAGTCCCTTCCCTCACCAAAAGTTCGGAGCTGCCTGGGGGCCGAGATGTTCTGGAACAGTCTCAGCCCTTGGGGCCTCAGGTCCAGGTCCGTGCGACAGGAGAAATTGGCGAGGTGGTCGTCTCTGCCCGCCAGCACCGGGACCGTGACCTCGACCTCGGCGGGCTCCCCAGAGGCCGGGTGCCGGCTCAGCTCCTCCTCCCCGCGGAGCAGCACCACGAAGAGGCTGTCCCGGGGCGCCCCGCCGGCCACCTGGCAGCGCAGAGTGAGGATTTCGCCCACGGGCTGCCAGCGGGGTAGGGGTAACAGCTCCACTCGCTCCGGGAACCCTAGGGCGGATTAGGGAAGGGAGAATTGTACTTATCAGCCAGCCCTACAACTCCCACCCCACGGAGCCGAGAGGAGGCTGAGGGCCGCCCAGGGCAGAACTGAACTTTGAGGGGGTTTTTTGTTTTTGTTTTTTTTAAGATTTTATTTATTTATTTGACAGAGATAGACACAGCGAGAGAGGGAACACAAGCAGGGGGAGTGGGAGAGGGAGAAGCAGGCTCCCCGCTGAGCAGGGAGCCCGATGCGGAGCTCGATCCCAGGACCCTGGGACCCTGACCTGAGCCAAAGGCAGACGCCCAACGACTGAGCCACCCAGGCGCCCCTGAACTTTGAGTTAATAAACACAGAGGGCTTAGTATTGTGCCCGTAGAAGTGTTTGTTATTGTCCTTAGAATCATGATTATTATTTCCTGTTTTATGGGATATCTTGCCAGGCACTGAAATAAAAATCAGATTTTCTGTTCCTGAGAAATTCACAGTTAAGAAAAAAAAAAAAAAAAAGGAAGGAAGCAGACTAAGTTATGACCCCTTACAATGTTATTAGTACTCATAAAAGTTCCTGTTTATTTAGAGTTCTCCTTAGGCTTTCCAAATCTCATCCGCCTTCGTTCACACAGCAACCAAGCGAAATCTCTATTAATTTTTCTGCTTTACGGATGGGGAAACAGGCCCAGAGAGGTGAGGGTGAGGTGATCTACCCAAGGACACAGAGCCAGAAAGGGGCCCAGCTGGGGTTAGAAGGTGAGTCACCGGGGCACCTGGGTGGCTCAGTCGTTGGGCGTCTACCTTCGGCTCAGGTCATGGTCCCGGGGTCCTGGGATCGATCCCCGAATCGGGCTCCCTGCTCGGCAGGAAGCCTGCTTCTCCCTCTCCCACTCCCCCCGCTTGTGTTCCCTCTCTCGCTGTCTCTCTCTGTCAAATAAATAAATAAAATCTTTAGGAAAAAAAAGAAGGTGAGTCACCCAAACTCCAGACCCATGTGTGTGTTCCCCTGCCTCCTTGATGTAACATCCAGGGACTCCCATGGTCCCTCCTCCCAGCCTCGGGCCTGGACTCTGGCCTTGGCCTCCTCAGTCAATCCCAGGTGCTCAAGGCTCTTACGGGGCAGCCTCTCAGGGTGCTCCGGCACAGCCCTGAGGGACTGCACACCCCCAGGCTGGGTGGTCTCCCAGCGGCAGCTGCAGTGCCCCTCCCAGGCATGTGTACCAAACCCCGGGCCTCCTTTGGGAAGCATCTCATTCCCTCAACAACTCAAGCCTGGATCTCAGCTATCACACAGAGGCCCATGCACTGGCTGCCACGAAAAATAGTTAACATCTTACTGTAGGTATCCCCCGCTTTCCAAAAGTTCATGACACCACTTCACTTTTGTGAAAGACCTACATTAATCAGTACCTGTTTCCACTAAGCAGAAGAAGTTCGAAGAGGATTTTCCCTTTTAAGAAAAATGGCCAAGGGCGCCTCCAAGCAGTTGGTTAGGCCTCCGACCCTGGGTTTCAGCTCAGGTCGTGATCCCAGGGTCGTGAGATCGAGCCCCACGTCGGGCTCTGTGCTCAGCGCAGACTCAGCTTGAGATTCTCTCTCCCTCTCCCTCTGCCCCTCCTGCTTGTGCTCCCTCTCAAATAAATAAATCAGCCTTTAAAAAAAAATTGGGGAGGGGCACCTGGGTGGCTCAGTCAGTGAAGCATCTGCCTTCGGCTCAGGTTGTGATCCCAGGGTCCTGGGATGGAGCTCCGCATCGGGCTCCCTGCTCCGTGGGAAGCCTGCTTCTCCCTCTCCCGCTCCCCCTGCTTGTGTTCCCTCTCTCACTATGTCTCTCTCTGTCAAATAAATAAAATCTTAAAAAAAAAAAAAAAATTGGGGAAAACCAAAGACAGCATTCAGTGTTGGTTTTGCAGTGAGGGGTTATAGAGGCAGCAGGCACCACACCCAGTGAGGGGGGCGCCCAAGGTCCTTCCCTGGGATTACACACAGCATCCCAGCATCCAGCCGCCGGAGTTCCGACCTGTGTCTGCGAGCATCCGTGCTTTCTCCCCATTTATTTTGTGCGCCCGGTAGCAAGATGTGTCCTAAGGTATCAGAAAAGCCTAGGAGAGGTTATATTTTGGGCCTGAGAATGCTCAAGATTTTTTCAATAGAAATTGATTGCTTCTTCCCTTGACACCATTATGACTCACAAAAGGTTTCACAGGACTGCTTTACTTTAGGATAGTAGAAGAAACATTTATTTACAATTTTAGAGTATTTAAAAAAGAGGCCCCCATCTCAGCCTCGGGCACCACCAGTCAGAGACAATGGTGTGCTGGCAATTGCTAGTAACACTTGGGAACTCGGGGATGGGGTGGGGTAGCCCCAACATGGAGCGTTCGCCGATTTCTGCCGTGTAAATACTCCCACTCTGCCTGCTTCTAAGCTACCCATCGTGACACAGGGTTGGGAAGGGATGAGTACAGTCGGCTCCCGTGAGCCAGGACCAACAGGCTTCTACAGAGCGCCGGACAGAGGCATCTGAGCCACACGCATGTCTACACCTTACACGGAAATGCAGATACAAAGACATAAACGCATAGACATGTCCTGACGAAGACCTTCACACCCACTCACTCACACACACACATATCGACACAGAAACACACACTCACACGCAGAGATACACACAAGCGTGGATCCCCACATTCCCATTCACACACATACACAGGCGACAGGCACACACCATGCAGAGACCAACCCTGTGAACACTCACAGGGACACACAGAGATGACACACGCACATCCTCTCACAGACACACTCATTGGTACACAGACGCTGGGCCGCACCGGGACGCACACATGCTCCCACGCATATGCCACACTTCTCTGTGAAGGCTTCCTGAAATGGTAGGGACCAGGAGTGACATACTCTATTTTCTGATCTATTGTATTCCTTTAAATGCAGAGAAACTCTGGCAGGAAGCATAAGAAATGGGTAACAACGGGGTCTCGGGAGGAAGACTTATCTGTTAGGAGCAAGGACTTGAGAGCCAGACAACCAGCTTCTCCACTCGTGGGCTGTGAGCCCCGATAAGCGACTTTACCCCACTGAGCCCTCGAGTCCTCATCGGCGGAATGAAGCTCCTAAGTGTACCTCCCCCAGTCTGGGGCTGCTTACAGATTGAATGAGCACCCAGTGTCCACACTAAAGCATCGTAGCCAGCACTAGGAAATGGAGGTTTGATTTTTATGCCTTTTTATAACTTCTGATTTGGGAACCACATGCATGAATTATTACCTGCCATAAGAATAAAGGAAAGAAAAGACAGGAGGTGTCATTGAAAAAATGCTTGTTGGGACCCAGGTAAATTGATTTCACAGCTATTGCCTTGGCATATGGTTGAGATGCATATCTCTCTCTCTCTCTACACACACACACACACACATTCAGGTCCACACTCTGGGCCAGAGCCCTGGGCCATCTCTACAGACTCAGGGTTCCCTGCTCCCTCACACCACGGGCCATCTACCCCCACTCCTGTCCAAGGCCGGGCCCACCTCCAGGCTCCATCACTCACGGTATACTGTGATGTTAGAGGAGGATGTCATCTGGGTGCCACTGCAGAAGCCGGAGCAGAGGACCTGGCTGTTACTAGTCACATTGCTGAGCTGGAAGGCTGCCCAGCCCAGGCCATTGCCCACTGGCTCCTTGGATAGGGATGTCTCTAGGGTGATGAGTTTAGGATTGGGACAATCTGTACTGCAGTTGACCAACAAGGACCCTCCGGCAGGCACCACGGGGCTCTGGACCTCCAGCCTCAGCGGGAACTGCTGTCCCTGGGCACCTGTGGGAACAGAGGGACACTTGCTGGTGGTTCTGGTGCCTCTCCCTACCCACCCGCAGGCCCCACCTTTCAACCCCACCTCCCTGCCTTCACAGCACTCAGTCCAGTGGGGAAGATGGATGATGGTCAGGAACTGGGGAAAGCCCAGAGGAAGGCTAGGGGAGACCCTGATCCAGCCTGGAGGAGGAAGTGAGTCAGGAAAAGCTTCCTAGAGGAGGGGACAACTCAGGCCAGTTCTGAAAGGAAAGTAGGAGTGATCTGAGTGAAAGGGAAGAGATCCTGGCAGAGGGAGGGCTAGAGAAAGAGGTCCGGGAAGGACTGTGTGTGTGTGTGTGTGTGTGTGTGTGTTTCGGGGCTGGGGGCCAAGTCACATGCAGGGACTAGGCGTTGGGGAGCCCTGAAGGCTGAGGTAAAGAGCCATTCTATGAGGCCACTGGGTGAGGCCCTGTCAGATGCGAGTTTAAGGAAGTGTTACAGAAGCTGGGAGCAGGATGGGTGAAGCTCTGCTTTGTCCATTCCCCCCACCCTCGACCAGTCCCCCAGCCCCAGGCCTCCCCAGCCTGATTTGCCTCACCTGGGGGCAGCAGACAGCAGACCAGAAGCAGGGCGATGGGTGAAGTCCTGCAGACCCCGGGCAGCAGCCCCGAGGGCACCATGGTAGCCAGCCTGCAGGAGGAAGTTGCCCTGATGAGGCCCAGGGCAGTGGGGAGCAGGTGGGGCCCCCAGGGGACGGAAGCCCAGCCACAGCATTAAAATTGCAGAAGTCCAGGGGCTGCTCTTGGGCCCAGACCTGGGGAAGGGCAGGGGAGATATTCGGTGGCCCAGGGGGTCCAGAGTGGGGGGACCCCAGCAACGTGGAGGGTGCTGGTGAGTCTTGGATGGGGCAGGCCTGACTGACACCGTTGGCCCCCAGAATGAACCAACAGGAAATGCTAACACAGTTGGCTTCCTTTGTTCTCAGTATGAGGAAGCTCGGGGTGCGGTGGAGGAGGTTATGAGACACCTTCCTGCTGAACTAGGGCAAAGGGGGGTGCTCGGTTCCCAGAGAGGAAGTTAACAGGGAATCTTCGGGCAGGCACTGTCCTTGGGGTGACAAGGTGGGATTGCAAGGCAACATTTCATGAGGACAATGGAGGGACTTCTAGGCGGGGTCTAAAGGCCTTAGCATGGGATCTTGATATTCCTGGGATGAGGTAAATAAGAGATTTGGGGGTATCTCTTATTGATCCCTCTTAATGAGGGATCCCCACGATGAGTGGAGACATGAAAATGAACAGAGGCCCCGTTGACTGGGCCCTTGTGCCTGGTTCTGCATTGACTTGTCTGAGTGGCTACTGTGGGGTGCGTTCCCTTTGAAGATCTTGGAGGATGCCCCATTCCCTGTGTGTCTTGCTGAGGTGGGGTATTTGGAGTACAGCCGAATCCTGAGCTATCATCTGTCGAAGATGCTACTTGTAGAAGGTCCCTACCCCGTCCTCACCGCCCCCCCCTTGCCCACTCCTCTGGGTAGCTGGCTTCTCCACCCCAAGAAAAGGGACCTGGGGGCCAGGTGGGTACCCCACTTCCATCTGCTCCATCTTCCGAGCTTCTGACCTTCCTCTTGTGCCTCTGATCTGAGCTCCAGAGAGGAACCTTGTTGAGGTCCTGGATGGCAGCCAACATCCATCCACTCGCCCCATCCTGAGGCCACGCCCCCTGCTCTCTGGGCTGGAACATCTCCCCCCTCCGGTTAGGTCTCTCCCCTGCTGCCCTCCCCCCCCACCCCAACACACCCAGTCCATTTCCCACAAAATCCTCGGAGAGCGATTAAAACCTAAATCAAACGTATTTGTAAATAACACCGGTCTCCTTCCCTTTTCTAAAGTTCCCTTCCATCACTTGGCTCTTGCGAAAGACCTACATTAGTACCTGTTTTTGTCAACCCAAGGAAATCTGAAGAGAATTTTTTCTTTTAGGAGAAAAGATGAAAAACGAAAATAGTATTGGGCGTTGGTTTTGCGGTGGACATTATAGCGGAAGCGTCCACCTGCGCAGGGAGAGGGGCGCCCGAGGTCCTTCCCCGGGATTACACGCAGCAATCCCAGCATCCAGCCGCCTGAGCTCCGACCTGTGTTTGCTTTAGCTCCACTTACTTTGTGCGCCCGGTGGCAAGATGTGTCCTAAGGGATGAGAAAAGCCTGAGAGAGTTTATTCTTTGGGTCTGGAAACACTAACAATTATTTCCACATACATTAATGATAATTACTTCTTCACAAGAAGCCATTTTGATTTACAAAAGGTTTCATCGGAACGCTTTACTTTTGCATGGCTAGGGAAACCTGTATATCTGATGAGGGATTATATCCAGATTATAGAAATTCCTGGAAGTTATAGAGGAAGTTCATAGGGAATCTCCAGGCAGGCACTGTCCTTGAGGTGATAAGGTGGGACTTCAAGGCAACATTTCAAGGGGACAATGGGGGAACTTCTAGGAGGGCCTAAAGGCGTTAGCATGAGAGCTCAGTATTCTCGGGTGGGATGCAAATACAGACAACAACTCAACAACTCAACAACAAAAAAACCCAATTAAAAAATGGGCAAAGGACTTGAATAGACATTTCTTCAAAGAGACTATACAAATGGCCCATAAGCAAACAAAAAGATGCCCAAGGTCACTAGTCATTAGGGAAATGCAAATCAAAACCAGAATGAGATAGCACTCTACATCTATTAGGATGGCTATCAGAAAAACAAAAACAAAAACAAAAACAAAAAAAACAAAGACAAAGAAATAACAGTTGTTGTTGTTGTTTTAAGATTGTATTTATTTATTTGACAGAGAGAGACAGTGAGAGACGGAACACAAGCAGGGGGAGGGGGAGAGGGAGAAGCAGGCTTCCCGCGGAGCAGGCAGCCCGATGCGGGGCTCGATCCCAGGACCCTGGGATCAGGACCTGAGCCGAAGGCAGACACTTAACAACTGAGCCACCCAGGCTCTCAGGACATACACTTATTTTGATTTGTATCCAAAACATGAGATGGATTGATGGATGAGTGGAGGAATGGATAGATACGATATGATCAAGTAAATGTAGCAATTTAGGTAATTGTGGAATGTAGGGGTATTCACTGTATTATTCTAACTTTTGTGTATGTTCATACTTTTTCAGTAAAAAAATGTTGGAAAAGAAAAACTGGATCCTTTTTTTTTTTTTTTTTAAGATTTTCTTTATGTATTCATGAGAGACAGAGAGAGAGAGGCAGAGGGAGAAGCAGGCTCCCAAGGAGCAGGGAGCCCGATGCGGGACTCGATCCCACGACCCTGGGATCATGACCTGAGCCGAAGGCAGACGCTTAACCATCTGAGCCATCCAGGTGCCCGAAAAACTGGATCCTTGATGGATCTGAGTGGCTGCTGGAGTCACAAAAGAAAGGATGAGCCGACCTTGAGCGCCTCCTGCTGAGAAGGCACAATGCCCTCTGTGAAAGTCTTGCCAGGAAATGGCAACAGACCTGGCCATTGGTTGGTCGAGGTAAGGACAGAGGAGCATATTAAACTGAACCACACGGGCGACATCAGACCGATAAAGTCTACGTGATGGACAATCCAGTTTCTTCAACAAACGTGTTACAAGGGGGAGAAAAGAGGAGCCCAGAATTTAAAGGAGGGCCTTGTCTGCATTTTTATTTGAACCAACTGTAAACAAACACTAAATATTTAAGAAACAACTGGGGGAAATCTAAACACACACAGGCTACACAATCATACTGAGCAATTATTGTTAAGCTTTTTAGGTGTGATGATGGCATGCATTGTTTGTGGTTTTTTCTTTTCAAGATACATACAGGGAAAATGATGTCTGGGATATGCTTCAGAATTCTCCACTGATGGGGGTAGGGAGGGGGGTCGAGCTGAAACAAGACCGGCAATGGATATTGGACACTGCTGATGTTGGCTGTTAAGTTCAGGTTCATTACATTATTCTTCCCCGTTTTGCATATGCTTTAAACTGTCCATAAGAAAAGGTTTCTTTCTTTTTTTTTTTTAATAAGTAGCTATTTTATTTGAGAGTGGGGGGAGGGGCAGAGGGAGAGAATCTTCACACACCCCACTAAGCATGGAGCACAAGCAGGGCCCAATCCCACCACCCATTAGATCATGACCCCAGCCGAAACCAAGAGTCGGATGCTTAACCGACTGAGCCACCCAGGCGCCCCAAGAATAAACTAAAAAAATAATTTTGGTAAGAGGCTGCCCTATCAAATACCAAAATATATTCTAGTGGCGATGTCTTTTACCAGGTGGCCAATTACCAGGCTTGATCCTGCAAGTAGCTGTTCCCATTGAGAATCTGTTACAGATAGCCTTGAACCTGGGTAAAATGATTTCGCATGTGGTTACTCACTGTAGCAGCATCGTGAACATGGCAAAGGATTAGAAATGATCAATGACCCCCAGAAGGGAAAAATGCTTCCATTTCCATGATGGGCTACAACACAACCATAAACTAGAACAAGGAAATACTGTAGGACTGGTTATGTGGGACCATCTCAAAGACCTATCGGGTGAGGAAAAAAAGAGTTCTGTAGAGTAGTACACGGTACTATTAAAAAAAAATGTGGGGGGCACCTGGGTGGTTCAGTTGGTTGGGTAGCTGCCTTTGGCTCAGGTCATGATCCTGGAGTCCCGGGATCGAGTTCCGCATCGGGCTCCCTGCTCGGCAGGGAGTCTGCTTCTCCCTCTGACCTTACCCCCTCTTGGGCTCTCTCTCGGTCAAATAAATAAGTAAAATCTTTTTTTTTTTTAAAGATTTTATTTATTTATTTGGCCGAGAGAGAGCACAGGTAGGCAGAGAGGCAGGCAGAGGGAGAGGGAGAAGCAGGCTCTCCACTGAGCAGGGAGCCCGACGCGGGGCTTGATCCCAGGACTCTGGGATCATGACCTGAGCCGAAGGCAGCCGCTTAACCGACTGAGCCACCCAGGCGCCCCCCCCCTTTTTTTTTTAAGATTTTATTTATTTATTTGACAGAGACACAGCAAGAGAGGGAACACAAACAGGGGGAGTGGAAGAGGAAGAAGCGGGCCTCCGGCCGAGCAGGGAGCCCGATGCGGGCCTCGATCCCAGGACCCTGAGATCATGACCCGAGCCCAAGGCAGACGCCCAACGACTGAGCCACCCAGGCACCCCTCAAATAAATAAATAAAATCTTAAAAAAAAACCCAAAAACTCTAAAAAAAAATGTTTTTTAAGGAGGTTCCCCCAAGATCAAGAGTCACATGGTCCACCTACTGAGCCAGCCAGGCACTCCACATGCTACTATTTTTGCAAAAGATGAGAAAGCATAGTATGTGTACAGATTTCCTTGTATCTGGATGAAGTGTCTCTGGAAGCAAAAACAGGAAACCAGATGACATTACCTGCCTTCAAGGAGATGACAGTCCTGGCTAATAGAGACATTTCACTGCTTAGGTCAATACTACCTACCCCCCCTCCAATTTATAACTATAATGCATATTTAAGATGAAAACTGTTATATAAAAAGCAAACATCAATACATTAGTGTGGAATTAGTTGGATAAGGGGAGCTGCAACGCACAAGGTCTTGAGAAATCCAGTGAGAAAGAAAAATATTTCAGTGCCTTTCACAATGTGGCTGACACATATCCTGTCTCAAGCACAGCTATTCAGTAGAAACACCCTGGCAAGGTCGCTTGGGTGGTGCAGCGGGTTAAGCGTTGGACTCTTGGTTTCGGCTCACGTCGTGATCTCAGGGTCCCGATCTCAGGATCGTGAGATCAAGCCCTGTGCTGGGCTCCACACATGGGGAGTCTGCTTGAGACTCTCTCTTCCTCTCCCTCTGCCCCTCCCGCTCGTGCTCGCTCTCTCTCAAATACATAAATCTTTAGGAAAAAAAAAAAAAGCAAAAATAAATCATTTCCTTTA